TATCTAGTATTAAGCATGTGATATGTCATTGCCTTGTTTAACATTATCTATCTTCCTAATAAAATAAGCTGTAACAGCCCTTTTTCACCCGAACTACTTCACTGATATTTATGATTGAGGTATAATTTTAAATCTTAAGATTCAGCTCAACGCAAAATGGTATTTAAAACCATATGTTGATAAAGGGCTTCAAAAGTGTGACCATTAAGCATTTGATTCATTTCCAGACAGTGATTTAAATGGTTGACAAACTTTCACATACAGTAACAGCTAACAGCGCATGCATGAGCGCGGATCGGAAGTGTTTATCACAAAAGATTGACCAATACGATTTTAATACTATTTAAAGGTTCTTCCAAAAGAAGAGAAACCGGTTAACATTTTAATAATAACTGTTATGACGTACGGTATGGGAAATATTTTATTCATTGAATGATCAACCATATTTTGTAACTAACGCAATAGTCATTATTGCTTTTACACTTATTACTCATCAAAAAAGCTAAAGAGCTAAATGCTCAAAATTTGTATTACTTCAATCTATTTATCGCAGTTATAAAATGAATTAGCATAAGCCTTGAAAGTAACCGTCAGTGTCGACGGGTTTAACCTAATTCTGTTCTGTATACTACCTTAAAATGCCTCATTTTAACATTTTACTAACAGGAAACCTGCTTATTCACTTCCTATTTGGTATTCTTATGAATGAATCTTTTGAACACTTATTTATGGACATAAGTTGACAAGTTTTGTTTTAAGGCAGGATTTTCCAATAAGACTTTATACATGCTCTGAATATGCGAATGTGCTGCAATGGGGGTATTTAGGCGATTAAAAGATGTTAGGCTATGCTTAAAAAATTGAATGTGGCCATTATTTTGAATTTGAATAATTGTCTTATTTTAGGTATTTAAGAGAAAATACTTTAAAATCCTTTCTTAGTATGCATCTAAAATCTTAAAAAACTAATTTTTTTTACTACTAGGTGATATGAAAAATTTACCATTATACACCTGACTTTTTATTGATCCTCTTTCTCAATTTAACAGTTTACAACTGAATTGTCTTATTTTAGGTATTTAAGAGAAAATACTTTAAATCCTTTCTTAGTACGCATTTAAATCTTAGAAACTATTTTTTTTTACTAGATGATATGAAAAATTTACCATTATACACCTGACTTTTATTGATCCTCTTTCTCAATTTAACAGTTTACAACTGAGTTTTGTTTTACTAAACAATTATTCCTACTAGGCCTACATTGAATAAACCGGAAGGTCACCACAGTTTATTCACTTTATCCTTTAAGAAATGTGTGTAAAAACAATGGTTCAGTACGATGTAACACTTGACCATGTGAAAAGTGCGCAATATTATATTATTTTCATAACTTTTTCATCTCCTGTTTACAGTTGCAGACGATCATTCATGTTTTCACAACCTCTGACTTAAAAATTTATCTGATGAGTACTCCTCACATTTCACTTTTAAACTGTTACTGTATAGTGTAAAAGTTGGTCAACCATTGGAAGCACCTTCTAGGAATAAATCAAAGGCTTAGGGGTCAACATTTTGAAGCCATAATCGAAATATCCTTTTAATTACCATTTTGTGCTGACTTGATCTTAAGCTTTTAAAAGACACCTCAATCGTAAAAATCAGTGAAGTAGGTCGGGTTGAAAAGGACTGTTACAACTTATTGAATTATAAATATGGATAATGTTAAAACAGACATCGACATATCGCATGTTTACTACTGGATATAAGAAGGTAAAGCAATTTATATAATCAATTATACAACACAATGAATATTGGCCGATACGCGGTAGAGCTGACCAATGGGGGTAGATTTCTGGGGGTAGATGTCCGGGGGTAGATGTCTGGGGGTAGATGTCCGGGGGTAGATGTCCGGGGGTAGATTTCCAGTCGCGGACTGTTTCTCGAACGTGTATAAGCCCCGCCCCTCGTGACGTCAAAATGACGTAGGCGTTTTTTCATGGGGGTAAATATCCGGGGGTAGAAATCCGCTACCCCAAGAAATGTAATCAAAGTAAAATAATTTTGTAAACTTCGTGAACATATGTTTAAAGAAACCAAATCTTAAATGTTTCAGCCATTCTACTTCCATTTACTTTGATTTTAACCATCTCCCACGATTCTACTAAATTTCATGCGCTTGGCTAATTTACATACAAATACACAAATTTGCAAATTGCACAGTAAAATTAATTTCAACATTCTAAGACATAACGACAAAAGTCTCAATTGTAGGTAACGTCATCCCTGGTTTTATATAGTATAGAGTACATTGCAGAATTTACTGGCAAATGAGTTAAATCCAAATGTAATATTGCTTACTGGCTTAGATGAATCACGATCAGCTGTATTGAGGTAAACAAAAATCAACAGACAAATGGCTTCTAATGCTATTCTTATGGAGAACATTTTACGTTATATTATTGACTAAGTCAAAGGTTTTATCTAATTTTGTGTTAAAATTTGGGGAATTTCACTATTTTTCCGGGATCGAGACCTTTAATTTGAACCCTCTCCCGTCGTTCTACGACTACCCAGTCGCCCACAATTTTGACGCAAAGAATCGGCTTTCGTAATTAATATATAGATAGATATTTAATTTCCACAAAATCAGTTAATGTAACCAATGCGTTTCGTTGAATTGAAAAACAAAGAACACAATTAAATTAAACAGCTGATGTAAACAATATTATGTTCTTCGAAAGGATAACATGGGAACTTAAAAAGCCACTGTGGCAGAGGCCAAGGGACTTTTTCAAAAAATTTAGGCCAGTTTGCAAATCTACGCAACACGCTCTTTCCAATGAGACGTCAGTGGATAAAATCGGTTAAGAAATGGTGGAGGATTCAACCGACAAACTTCGTGTTCGCGTATTAATTATATAGATTTCATATGTGCATGAAATGTTGGTGTGAAACCAACTTGTATAACTTTAAGCTAAATGGTTTAAGTTACCTGGCTTCGTCAAGTGATCCTTCTTCAGTATCACACTACTATAGTTTCGGACTTGAAAATAAGTCCATCTTCAGAAAACGTCAATAGGTCATCTAACCAAATTGGTTAGATGACCTATTGACTTTTTTGTTAACCTGAAGATGGACTTCCAGAGGCTACCTCACCATGTATACCTTTGAAGTAGAGGCTATATTTATTCCCAAAAGGTATCAAACGCCAGATCCTGATCAAATCTTTTCTATCACTTTAAAGTTTGTTTCGTGTTTTTAGTCTTCACGTACAGAGACTTAAATCTTTGTATGAAATTGTTAGCAATCATAAATCGTGGACAGAATCTTCCACAAAAGATAAATACAATATAGTTCAACACCCTAGAACTCCTTAAAAAAAAATATGTTTTGTTAAGGCTTCGTCATAATGTTAAAAATACTCAATACAACAAATTCATTAATTTTACATATGTAAACGTTGATAGTTGTGTGCGTATTGTATTTTAATATATCTTCTGTATACATATAGTCCTCTATATTTTCTGTGTACACAAATGCTTCTGTATACACGTTTTTGCAACTCACAGTAACTGAGAAATATTCTAAACTGGTGAACTGTTTTTATAAATTTTTGCCATTATTTCTCAACCCGTGCTTAAAAAAATTAGTGACTCGTGGATAAATCCAGATACGAAATTTAATCTAAATCGGACCACAGGTTTTGTCTGTAGCTCTGTATCTGGATCATACAAGTGTGTATTATATAACCTGATATTAGTCAAAATATGTTTTATTCTATAACGTTTAATTTAATTAAACATAAAAGCATAGATAAAACATACTCCCTTAGTAGATTTCCCATCCTTATGGAACAGCTGAAGCCAATTTTATTGTTAGTTCTGTCCGTTTTTCTGTAGAGGTCGTGTTTTGTTTACAATTTGTTTCCCGTTATTACAGCCATTTAAAACCTCGTTTAACCAAATAATACGATCTAATCATAAACAATAACTTGTCCCCTAGTTATATAACCAAACAGTAAAGCACAAATCAAGAAATTAACCCTAAAATAATAGAAACAAAGTTTCGTCGGCACTAGCGCCTTTGTGTCACTTACATGAACTAGACACGAAAAACGTGCTTCAAAATTTACAATGGGATGAGAAGTCTACTTGTGTTGGTTGGTTAGTCTATGATAAAAGTCATGCTCCCTCCATTTTTAAAGTATTCAGTCCAAAAATGTAATAAATTTACTTGTGCATACATATTTATTTCGTTTTAATAAATAATTGAGGTGATGCAATACACTTATGTAGGCAGTCGCAGCAGTCGAATCCGGGCATAGCGCCTAAAGTTTCACGAACGCAAACCGCGCAACGAGTAGCCAAATGAGCCGTAGAGTAAGTGAGCCATCTAATATTTTGAAGAGGGTTCACTTACTCTACGGATCATAGTGCCAATGAACTGTAGAGTAAGTGAGCCATCTAATATTTTTCTGCAGGCTCGTATAGTATACGAGCCTATTCCTATAATTTATATTATTCATTATTTTGGCTCGTATACTATACGAGCCGATTCCTAAATTATCAAATAATTCGTAAGCTTGGCTCATAGTCACTATGATCTGTAGAGTAAGCGAACCTTCCTACTGTATTTTTAAATATAATACACGAGGCTCATAGGCACAATGATTCGTAGAGTAAGTGAACCCTCTTCATTTATTTTTTATTTTCGATAGGCTCGTATAGTATACGAGCCTGTAGTGCAAGTGAACCTTCAATATTATTTAAAAAGCTCGTATAGTCTATGATCTGTAGAGTAAGTGAGCTGTCCCCCACAATCTGTTGTACATCACACAAGCAGGGAGATAATCAATGGTAATGTTATAGATCCAAGATCCATGTACCTGGGAGTGTTTTTTGGTTGGTCAAATTAGTTCGGTTGGTAGCTTTGAAGTAAACAACCAACGCTATTTATGTCCAACCAAATTCTCGTAATGTCAAAAATTTAACCTAGTTTACATTACATCTACATGGCAGCTACATCTCCTATGCTCTTACGGTCGCAGTAATATTTAATATTTTCTTTTGCATTTCTGTATGTTATTGCAGGAAATATCTTAGAACATAAAACGTTTTTATTTATCTATTTAAGTCCTTAAAAGTGTTGAATTCGGTTTCATCTTTGAGGTCCCTGAGGAGGGAATTTAAAGCGTCCTAATTCTAGGCTACCCAGAGATTCGTCCTTGAATAAAGGTAAACATTATTTTGACTTCTGCCTTTATGCTATCAAATGTACTGTAACTTTAAAAATGATATTTTAACCATAAGGTAGTATAACAACATATAGTGACATAGGATTCCAGGAAAAATACCATACAGACTGACCTCACCCACTTGTTCAAAGTGAGACATTTAGGCCTATATTTATTTAGGCCATTAGTTGGCGTAAGGGCTGCACTTAACTTTACGTCCTACACTCATTCGAATGAAAATATCGATTACTCAATTGTTTAATTCGACATATCGTTTGGTTAGGTTAACCTTACCGAACTAACCAAATGATATATCGAATGAAACAATCGAATAATCACGAAATATCGATCGATATTTTCATTCGAATGAGTGTAGGATGTAAAGTAAAGTGTAGCTGGCGTAAGTTATAAATCTTTGAAATTGTGGTGGTTACCTTTACCTTTACCGGTTCTTCATCGTTGCCCAGCCATAGCTGGATAGATTGTGTTAAATGAAAAAATTAAAACTTTAAAACTTTGTCTATATACACTATATACAAGGCGGTGGATCATGATGTCCAAACTGAGTCAGGGGTTTCAAAAAATTCCCTGATGGAGTAAAGGAGCCTAGTCTTCAACTCCCTAGACATGTGCGATGTGCACTACGAACGCTTTCACTGGCAGGCCTCTGATCTCAACACAGACTATTATACAGCTTTATGACCATAGTGGGGAAACTGTTTGCAGTCTTACTGAGCCGATGGGATGGGAGGTCAAGTTGGCTACGGTTACGAGTATTGCAACTATGAAGGTCACCCCTTGAGCTAAAATCATTTAAGTTTTTCTTTATGTGTACAACACTGTTTAAGACGTACTGGCTGAACAATGTCATAAGTTCCTTTTTATATTTATACTTTGCTGCTCATCTATTGGTGTTAACCACGTTTAATTAACCACCAAGACCAAGTTAAAAATGCATCAATGTGCCTACGTTTTGTTTTTCGTTTTTTTAAATATTTAAATTATAATATAAGTTAAATGATATTTACCGGTACGCTAGCCTATATGTAAGTTAGGGTAATATACAAATATTATCTAAACTACAGTACTGGATTTAAAAAAAGGAACACAAAATACAGTAGTATAATTCAAATTAACTTATAGACTAGCAACTATCTAAAACTACAGTACTGGATTTAAAAAAAAGGAACACAAAATACAGTAGTATAATTCAAATTAACTTATAGACTAGCAACTAATTTCTGTTGACTTATCATTCTAAAATATTTGCTAGGCCTATCATAATGCCTCTCTAAGATTCTAAGATTCACACAACGTCCGTTTTCTGTACTTCAGCTGACTTGCCGGTCCATTTTGTCTATAAAGAGTAGGCTACAGAAATAAGCAGCTTAGCCTCACTGTGTAGTGTGGTGGAAAAGTCAGAATCAGGTATCTAAATTCAGGCCCGTTTTAGCGAATTTCCCTATAGGGAAGTAGCTATACCGTAGGTCTCATGGTAAGACCTAGACCCGGGACCTATTTACTTTTTCATTTTGATGTCCCCAGAGGCCAAAAACACCATTCGTTAAAATTTTTATATATCTATATATATATATGTGTCCATCCGCACGATAACTTGAGTAATTTTTGTCCGATTTTGATAAAATTTGGTTTGAAGGTGTAAGGCGGGATAAACTTGAACGAGTTCGCGAACCAGCATGATCGGAACGGGGGTATGGGAACGGGGGTTTACGGGGGGTTTTATGGGGTGAAAATAGGTGTTTCCCATTTTTGACCCAAAAAACATAAAATTTAGCAATTTCTTTCCAAACCATTTTGTAAAGCTTAAAAAAACAAATAATTTAGTATATTAAAGTGTTACTATGCGCCTAATGGTTATGGAGAAAATTCCAAAAAAATGTAAATTTTAAATTCCCATGTTATTCTTATGGAGAACAAGTAAACTGTTGTAGTTTGCTTGTTTATAAACATATTTTGATCAAATTTGGAAAATGTTTTTATTTCTTACTAACTATTAACATAAAAAAAGCAGTTTTACCCTCCCTGATGCAGCAAACCTAAGTACCTGTCAAACTAATTCTATTTAAATAGGAAATAAATGTTAAATTTTTAAGTAGACATTTTAGTGTAAATCCAATCAGGCAAATGGAAATTCGCTTAGTCTGCAGGTTTGCTGCGGCGGGGGTATTTGACACTGCTAGCGCCCTAGGCACAACTAATAGTAGCGTCCCTTTGCAATATATAAAACAGGGTGTCTATTGACTGGAAAAACAAGAAATGAGGTAATTATGCGTGATTTTTTTTGAGCCGGGGATTATGCGTGAATTTTGTATTTCTACCTTGAATTTTTAATTTACCATGATCCCGCATGACAACAGTGACGTTTCCATGACCGTGGGAGAAGATAATATGTCTACACACACATGGCCGCGAGGGATGATCCGAATATTGCTGCGATCTTGGAAGACGAAGATTATCTCGATCTCCACACAACTGCGGAACATTTTGCCGCAATCGTGGGAGACGATTGCAATGTCCACAGGACCCCGATACATTGATTTATAATTTGATGATAATGATTTATTCACGGCCGCATCAGAATCATCCCGCAATCGCGCAAGTCGATGATAATGCCCACATGACCATGGGAAAAGATTAGAATTTTGCCTCATTCGATGAAGACGATGATCTCCACATGATTGCGGGAGATGATACCATTTTGCGACAATCGCGGGAGGCAATTACTAAGTCCAAACGACCGCGGGGGACGATATAATGAAGGGTGCCCACAGTCCTGGAAAGTCAGGGAAACAGGTATAGGGTCAAGGAAAGTTTTTAAAAAAGGCCTTAAGTCAGGGGAAAACCTTTAAAATAATGTTAAGTCAGAGAAATGTCCTAAAAACTTTTAAAGATCCCGTTAATTTCCTGGATGATAAGTTACCTATGTTTAAATGAGATAGTTGCTGAAAAGATTACTAAATTTCTGAAAATCTATAGTTATGTAATTTTATTACCAATTTTCGGTTTTATTTTGAGGTGTAAGTAGTTTAATTTTTCATATAGTAGGCCTATTGTAGCCTATTAATAAATACCCCTGCCAATGCAATCCTGCAGTCTAAGTGAATTTCCATTTAGCTCACCTGGCTGGATTTTTACTAAAATATTCCCTTAAAATTTACCAGATTTATTTCTTATTCAAATAACATTAATTAACATTATATCAACATTAATTAACTTTAATAACATTAATAACATAAATTTAATAAGTAAACGACTTTTAGGTTGCTGCTACAGGGAATGTAGTAAGGAGTGGGTACTTTCCTGTTAAAGGGAACATTCATTATTATCGATGATTTTTTCGATATATCGATATTTTTGTTTTCCGATCCATTACAAATTGACAACAACTAACTAACTGATCTTGTTTAGGCTAAAACAGTCTATTATATGGATTAAGAAATGAAACTGTTCTAAGCTAACCTAACATAACCAACCAAACTTGCTGTACCATTTAAAAACTCCGTTTGATAACAGAAAAGGCAAGTTAAACACGGAATTTTCAAATGTTACAGCAAGTTTGGTTAGTTCTGTTAGGTTATTTTTTAGAAGAGTTTTATTTTATTATTGTTTGTTGATACTGAACAATATTTATCGTAGTTGTCAGCTGATATGTTTCAATTTGTTAATATCGATATATCGAGAATTAAACCATCGATAATAATGAATGTTCCCTTTAACAGGAAAGTACCAAGGAGTGTTTATGGTACTTTCCTGTTAAAGGAAACATTCATTATTATCGATGATTTTATTCAATATAGGCCTACCGATATTTTTATTTCCTGTACGATCGATATTCCTTCTGCAAACAAATTTACAAACCTATTCTTGTTTAACTTAGGCAAAAATAATATGTAGGATTAAGAAATAAAACTGTTCTAAACTAACCTAACATAACTAACCAAACTTGCTGTACTAGGCCTAGTTCAAAATTCTGTTTGATAACAGAAAAGACATTAGGGTAATATCAAACGGGATTTTGAAATAGTAAGTTTAGGCTACAGCAAGTTTGGTTAGTTATGTAAGGATAGTTTAGAACAGTTTTATTTCAATATTTTTTATTGTTCATGTTGATACTGAACAATAAGTTATCGTAGTTATCATCTGTTATGTTTTAATCCGTTAATATCAATATTGGATCAAAAAGTAAAATTTTTATGTATCGAAAAAAATCATTGATAATAATGAATGTTTTCCTCTTAATAGGAAAGTACCGTGTTTATTATTGAAATCTCAATAGCTTAGTGTGAAATACACAAATTCGCCAAAACAAAAAAGCAAATCGGTCCCGGGTCTAGGTCCTATCATGAGACCTGCAGTAATGGCTTAAATTCCCTATGTGGGAAATTTGAAAGAAGGAGTTGTAAGGGCAGCTATGAGGATGGTGGAGGCTGTATTAAATAAAAAAAAAAAATATGTTTTAAAAGCAATGAATACTTAACTTATATCCAAATATTAGAAAACTGACAATACCTAAAATACACCATGGTCAGGTAAATTAACAGAAAACGGCCAGGGAAAGTCAGGGAATTAACTTAAGATATTTTTGTGGGAACCCTGTTGTAATGATGTCTTCACAGCCGCAAGGGGTGATCAGATTTTGACCGCGATAGCGCAAGACAATGATAATGTCTACACAATTGCGGGAAAAGATCAGAATTTTGACTCATTCGCGGTAGACGATGATAATCTCCTCACGACCGTGGGATATGTTCATATTGCCGCAATCATGGAAGACGATAATTATGTCTACACGACCGTGGAAAATAGTCAGAATTTTGCCACAGTTGCAGGAAACGAGTACGATGTCTACACGGCCGCGAGGGATTATCAGAAGTTTACTGCGATCATATGCACATGCAACCTCCAATTTTTTTATTTTCAATCGTCCCTGTCTAAATTTGTAAGTGATTTAAGGCAAGTTCAAGTTATAGCCAGATTTACTTTTGAGATCCATTATGCCCATTAAACACAAACAAGTGGTAAAGCTCCCTCTGAAAAGCCATGGATAACTCCAGAATAAATAGCGAGTCAGTGGAATAAATAATGTCTCACTATATTTGACCTTTGACTTGATTGACCTCGGCACGCTTATCAACTTACTCATAAGCTAAATGAGAGGTTAGTCACGGTTGGCTGGTCACTCGTTCTTAGTCAGAACAATGCTTCAATTGAATTTTATATTTTTATTGACATTTTAAATCATTGCATTAACTTATGCAAAGAAGTAAGACTTAAGAAATGTAAATATAAGTTTTTAAAACCATGGATAAATTCATCACTGTGTAGTAAGATCAAAAGAAAAGAGATTATTTATAAGAAAACATTAAAACAATCTACTGATAGGAAGCTATTAACCTATTATATTTTGTTCAAAAATAAAATTAATATTGAAATTAAAAAAACAAAAAAGAATTACTATTGCAATTTGTTTAGCAAATGTAATGGCAATTCAAAACTGGAGTGGGAGGTTGCAAATGAATTGACTGGTCAGAAAAAATCAAGACACAATATAGATTTTTTTTAAGGGAGAGGAGGGAAAATGCTTTTACGCACACAGGTAGCCAGCCTGTAGTGTGAGACTCCTGAAACTATCACAGACTTCTCACTAAAAAACCCCCTCTACTCTGTTGGACACAGACCTGGAATTGTTTGTCACATTACTTCAAGTCAGGCCAACATGTGACCTAAGCCCTCAGGGCTCTCACCGTTTTTGGCATTTAGATACGCTAACTCGCCTCCAGTTGAAGTTCGTTCGCTATGCTCACTCACCCTATGGTTGCAAATTAGCTGTTGTCATAAATTAAAAAAATAATAGTGCTGCACCCTGCTGGTAAACCTATTAACTTTTTAATGCTATTGAACACCACAGAATCAAATTGTTTAGTTGAACCAGCTGTTATGATTCTTTAATTCCATTAAAAAATTAGTACTCATAAGGTTAACATGAGAAACTCCAGAGCCACTGGGACGGAGCCCTTTTGACGGATTTACACCAAACTTCACACAAACCATCCTTGAACAATGCTTAATAATGCCTGAAAGTTTCATTACAATCTGTCAAGCGGTTTCGGAGTCCATAAAGGACAAACAAACAAACATAAATACAAACATACATACATACATACAAACAAACATTCATTGGATTTTATATAGATTATATAAAAGATCTTGTTAAATGATCTCTCTAATTTTTGTATAAGGTTTAGTATTATTGTTTTATTTCTGACGCTCGCAAGTGTGCTTATTTGTTATTTTATTACTGTATTTGAAATTTATATCCTTTGTGTTAAAAATTTAGTTTTGCACTGGATGAACTTTAATTTTAAATTTGTACAATAAAGTGATGGCAACCTCACCAAAGATTCTACCTAGAGAGGTGCCTATATTTTCCATAACTCATGTAAATATACACTGTAATATTCAATAGTCTGGAAAATAAACCGATTTTCATTTCATTTTCATTTATGATACAGAACTAATATGTTATAATTAGGCCAGTTCAATTTATTCTGTGATTCAACACAAAGAAGAAAGAAAAGCCATTTTGATATTGGCTAGGGCATAGATAGATTCCTTAGAATAAACCTGATGCAAAAAGTGAAGTAAAAGTTTAAAAACCTTTGATTTAAAGATGTGGATTAGTAGCTTACCATCATACTATAGTTAGCTTAGGCTACCTACATTTGTTCTTTAAGGTGGAAAGATATAATTTTTTTAAAACCTGATGAGCCACCTTGAGCTGTAATTAAAGTTGGTAGCTCTTTCACAGATAAAAAGGAAAACAATGGCTGGAAAAAGTGCAGGAACTATCCCCGCCTACCATGGGCCCCCACCGGCAGCACCACCCAGTTACTCACAGGCAGTCGGGGGTGTACCTCCGTCCAGCCCTTTCACCCCGTCCCAGCCTGGTATGTGTTGAGGAAGTTGTTTTTGTATACAGTCATTTGAATTGTATTACATATCTTGTGTTACATACTTGTACAAAAGTTAAAATGTTAGTATCAGGGGATCAAGCCTTGCTCGGTGGGGTTTAATTTCATTGAGAGGTTGTCCATGCCGCTACAGTTTTGTAAATGTAAGCCATGTAATTTTTTTTAGATCCTCAATTTGCAAATTTGATGCTTATTACCCTGATCTGAGCTTGATCAGTCATATAAGTAGCTCACTGCCTTGGAATGTCCATCTCTATTTTAGTCTTAATAATTTAATTTTAAATTCGGACTTGGTCACTATTGTGCTTGTACCTATGAAGCTTTTGGGATATTTACAGATAATTTTCTTTTAGTCTTGATTTAAATATCGCTTAGGCTTAACAAATGTTGTTGTATAATATACATTCTCACATTAAGTTTCAGAATTCATCATCCTGGACCTAAGATTTAAGTATGGACTTGATGTCGTTGGCAAACCAAACATTCTACAGATATCGCATAATCCATCGTGTAGATTATTGAATGTGTTAATCAAGTATTGAACTGTTGAGGGTCAAATGTATTACAATTACACTTTTACAATGATCTGTATTGTTCCAGTGAAGCACCGTGGATTCATGGAGACGCAAGCGCAAGGCCCTGTAATCATGACGACGGTAGTGCCAGTCGGTAGTCAGCCGACTCACATGATCTGTCCACATTGCTACTCAGAGATCACCACTAAAACTAAGACTGAGCCTGGCTTGATTGCTTACATTTCAGGAACACTCATCGCTCTTTTTGGGTTAGTATTTGGAAAAATAAATGTTTCATTTTAGTCTGAACAATCCCCGATGAAGGATACACAATGTCAAATATTTAACATATTATGCAACATCATATGTTTCTACAAATTCCAATTGTTACATATGTGTATAAATTGTTTCCAAGAATAACACATATGCGACAATTTATTTTTCAGGAGAAACAAAAATGATGTGTGTTTGTATATACACTTTGTGATGGCACAAGTTCAATAACTTCAGATTATATCCTATCATAACAAAAACTCAATAACAATGTATTCAGTTTGTAATCGACTGTTGCTACCACTGAATGTTTCTGTAGTAAAGATATTCAATTGTTTAAACCACTAAAAAGCAAAAGCAAAACACATAATAATTGTATATTGATTCATTTTTCCAGATTTATCTGTGGATGTTGTTTGATTCCCTGCTGCATTGATTCGTGCATGAACGTCATCCACTCTTGCCCTAACTGTAACACCTACCTCGGACGATACCAACGTTAACTCTACCGTTACAGCCTACCATCAGCTCTTCACATAAAAGTCAAATTGCATTCTGTTAGTTAACTCTACTCTGGCAGCTCATCAGAATATTTGTCACTAACATAGTTTTTACACTCTTGTCAATCGATAATTTACCAAGGCAGCTCTTATATGTAATGTTAGGCACAGCAACTGTTAATACCTTTTACTACCAATCGTTTGTTTTGTTGGACTCTAATATAGCTTATTTTTAATGTAAGTAAATTTGGCAGCTCTTCGGAACAAAAAAAATAACGTAATTTCTACTGAGGCAGCTTAGTATTTAAAGTTTTTAAGTAACAATTTTACATTTTACGCAGATATATATGTTGTCAATTAAGCAGCTGCTTAGAATATCTAAGAAGACTAATGATTTTTTCTTAGTAAGTCAAGTCAGTAGCTATAAACCGTCTGCAGTCTTAATGTATTGGGTTTCTCATTTACTAATGACTAACCTAACCTGCCACAGGTAATTCCATATTTTATAATGATTTATTGTTATCTAATAATGTAAACAGTGTCTTAATGCTTACATTCGCACAATATTATATCAGTGATGTGTATTTTTATGATAGGAATTACATTATCTGTTGTATAAAATATAGGTGGATTTTCAAGTAGGCCTACTGTAGTTAAAAATAACAAATCACAATCTAACTTATAAAAATATAAACCTACTTTTGATTAAGTTTATACAATTCTGTGGTTTGGTTCAATCTGAAGACATTTGATCAATCTAAAGTCTAAAAACATATTTTCCTAATGAAAAAGGATTTGATATTGACAGTCTATTACTAAATACTGCAATTCTATGCGGCAATTTTAATAATAAGAGTTTCCGCTATAATTTTAATTTTAAAATTGGAAAATTTGTTAAGAGTATGAGAATAGATTGGGTCAATTTGAGTGGCGAGCGGAATGCGCTTCAGTTTCGTTCACAAGAATCTTTTCCCCACCGTCGCTTTGTTATTTTGTACAGCCATCTAAAAAATTAATTGTGGTTGGATTAATTTAACACCATTGTCTAATGACGTGAATATCTGTTTTTAGGAGCCTTTTCCTCATCTCAGACACCCCTTTAATTGATACGATCTATTTTTAAACATTTCCTTCCTTAAGTAACTTTGAGATATCAAGCACTAAATGTCCTTAGGGGTAAAAAGTTAGTATTGTCTTTGATACTGTAAACGTGTTCTTTCATTATGGGTAATATTGCCTGATTTAATAACGTAGTGCCTTTGCTGTGTTACCTTAAATGTTTACAAGTGCCATTGTATATTTTTGATGTAAAAGTTATATTTTAAATGCAGATTTCTATATTGTTCAGTTTTAATATTTAAGGTTAATATTTTTTTATCATATTAAATATTTGTATCTAAGCTACACAAACTTTGCTATTGCAAATTGTTACATTATAAGAATCTCTTTTTATCACTCTACTATTTGTGTACAACTCGCATGTTAGAATGTTTTATTATTTTATTGTAAGTGTTATCGATGTGTTATGGACATAATTAATTAATTAATTAATACCTCCTACAAACAAACTTGTTCAAATGCGGAATTTTAATCTGTTTTAACTAATTTTACTAAGTTTTGTACTTAAGTTAGTTGTGTAACTACCCAAAACTGTATGGTAATATTTTAATAAGTTGTTAATTAGCACATTCTTGTTTGTCTTTTGTAACATGGCTATACGGTATAGATTTGACCTGCCATTGTATGAAGGTATGTTATCAAAATATAGATCTGGATTTTTTTACAATACGGTTTTTCATGTCGATTAACTAAAACTTGCCATTTATTGTTGTGATTTGTATTCACCCTCGCATTCTTGTACCTTTAATCAGGGCCATAGGGAATTAATAGTGAGGACGACATCATTCATTTTGTTTTTTTTAACTTGCACAAAATGTACAACCATTAAGAGCCTTATGGAAGTATCAACATTAAATTTTTTTACTATAATAAATGTAAACAAATTTACAAGAAATTTGTAACATCATTCACTTTTTGATGCAAATTTACTCAGCCCTCACTATTTATTTCCCAGCCCGTCTGTATTGTCTGTTAAAGCTGTTGTGTGTAAATGTGTTAATAATGTTTATTTTATTATTATTTTTAAACTAATGACTTTAAAGCAAAAACACTTGCTTATTCCACTAAATAAATTATTGTATGTGTTTTACTAACAATAAAAATTTATTTTTAATTATACATTTCTGATAATTTACCTACTATCTCAAAAAGTAGTTTTAAAATTCTTTAGCTGCTGTAGGCCTAATTAATTATGGTTAAGATAACTGTAGGGATGAGCTCAGTAGCTCCCCAAGTTGCTGTGAATGCCGTCACTGTCGCTTTTAGCACAGTGATTGGTGCGGGCCAGCCTATGTGGAAGGTGATTTGCAAAAATAAAAATACAAAAACACCATTCCAAAAAAACAACGTATTAACTTGGAAAAATTGTAAAAAGTAAATCGTTGTTACTATCAGAAAAATAAACAAAATTGTTTCTAAGTATTTTTAATTTGACTTCAAAATGTTTAATAATAACAACTTACGTCAATCAATCCAGTATGTTTATGGAGGACGCACGTTTCGACCTTTAGGTCATCTTCTGCTCCGCTTTTTCACTAGATTGTTACGTACTTGGTTGCATTGTTGGTGTAGCAACCGCGTCAAATAATTTACATTGTGAAACATAGTCAGACCACGTAAACATAAAAACACAAAACACGACATTGACGAATACGAAAACATTTAAAATACTATCACCGTGCGCACGGCTGAACGGGCTCGGGACTGCGGCGGCACTGACTTGTCCAGGCACCCATGATTGACGTAAGTTGTTATTATTAAGTTAAACATCAATCCGTTTGCTACGAATCAATCATGATTCAAAATGTTGATTTGATTACAAATGTTGATATTTTGGATTAAATTACGATCATATTTTTAAGTAGGATATAATTTAATTGCACATTTTCTAAATTTATATTGAAATATTACCTTTTTCCTTTACCTGCTTCTGTATTGTAAGAAATGTTAACGGCCGTTTCAGCATCACTGTGCCATCATCAGATATATTATGTTCACTCAAAGGGCGTTGTTATAACACAAAAACATTTTCACACGAAAAACACACATGGTCAAAACGGGGTTTTAAAAATCAGGCCTGTTGAGGACGTAGCTAAGTCAGCTACTTGCTCGAGTGCGGAAATGTACGTTCCTCAACAGGCCTGTTTTTTTTTTAACCCGTTTTGACTATGTGTGTGTTTCATGTGAAAATGTTTTTGTGTTATAGCAACGCCTTTTTGCTGAACATATGTGCGATGATGGCACAGTGATGGTGAAACGGCCGTCATATTTGTATACAGGAGCTGGCTGACGAAGGTAATATTACAATTTAGTTATAGAACCAGCTCAGGGGCTAGAAAATATGTACTGTATTATAATGCACATTTGCATGTATGTCAGGCTTGTGTGTCAATGGGTTCAGTCTCTATGTTTGTACCAACATGTGACAAAATTACCTCATTCTAGACCCATAAGTCCAATTTTCGTCAGAATCATTTTATCAAATATACATTTTAATTTCTGATTTAAAAATACCTATTGGAATGAAAATAAAATGTTTGAAGTTGTATTTTTTGACTAAACACCGTTTGGGTGCAGATTCAGTTCCGTATAGGCTTAAACAACTAAAATCAAGTTGTTAAGTTAAATAAATCTTTAAATTTTATAATAAAACTAGCTGTTTAACTTCTTAATTTTCAAGATTATCTCGTTCGCATAGCTCAATCACGTCCTGGTTGAAGTTTGTTCGCTACGCTCACTCAACTTAAGGTTGAAGCTCGTTCGCTACGCTCACTCAACTTAAGGTTGAAGCTCGTTCGCTACGCTCACTCACCTTTAGGTTGGAGCTCGTTCGCTGCGCTCACTTGCCTTCAGGTTAGCTCGTTCGCTACGCTAACTCTAGAAATTTGCAGGTTTTAAAATTGGAATAAGTAGAACAGTAAGACATATTTGGAAAAAGTTTCATGTATATTTAAAAAAAAAATACTATAAAACATACTTAATACAATATTACTTATATAAAAGGAAAAACAGAATAGTAAACACTATCATTATGTCACAATGTGGTGGGTGGTTGAGTCAGTATAATCATTGAGTATACACGTACTATATTAGTCACTCAATCTGGGCTACCGTTACCTGAACAGCAGTGTAGATTAGTGTCAGCAGCCCGAACTACGCTACTTCGTTTGTTTAATATTGCGTTTGTAAGGTTGTAAAATGTCGTTTTTGTTGGTGAAATTTGTTTGTTAGATCGAAGTTTTGTTGTTTTATAATATGTTTTTAATACTAAATGATTGAAATGTTCCCATAGGCACAATGCATTACCGACCGCCTACCGCGGCCCAAGCGTCAGGGGCCCAAACTACTTAAGCAAAATTGGTAACAAGCATTATCTGACCCCTCTTATACGTGTATACTCAATGGTATAACACAATTGATATAAAATTACTTTCTTATGAATACAACTAAATTTTTTTTGTATCATACTGAACATTTCTTTAATGAACAAATCAAGTCTCTGGATTCCTAAAAAAGTAAATTCAAATACAAAACTGTGTAAATAGTTTCAAAACATTTTTAACTTCTGAATGTTTTAGCCATACATCAATCATTTTTCTATCTTGGATTTCATATGTAACTTAATACCTACATTTTAATATAGCCTCTACATTAATTTGCTACCGGTACCAATGAATAATTTGGAGCTTTGTCAATTATAAACAGGAGTAAGTATCTCGGGCATTAACACATGATACACCTTTTTTAGCTATGACAAGCTTCCTTTCTCTCTATGAGACCTAAACAAATATTTATAATTATCATTTCATGTAAACATTAACAATGCAATCCCCTCATGTGAACCAACTAGTGGAAAATATATCATTACTCAGCTCTGATGTAGATACCTCCATTTGACAGTCAATAGGATCTAGGAGTGTAATGGAATTGGAACTGTCCACTTGGATTGCATGATCACCACAATCAATAGTTTTCTCAGACTCCGCTACATTACCAGTATTTTCTTTCTCAGTATTATATACAGCTACTTTATAGTCTTTAGGATCAATAACGGTTTTTTCTAAGTGTATTTCATGTTTTTTTGCCAAATGCTGAGTGTACTTGTCTCGGGACGCAAACCCGAGGTTACAACCAGCACATTTATAGGGATACTGTTTGGTGTGAAGAATAATGTGGCGTTTGAGAGTTTGAGGAACATCAAATGTGCGGGGACAATAAGTACATTTGTAAGGTCTATCTCCCCTATGTTTTCTGCGATGAACTGACAAATTAGACGAGTGCTTGAAAGGTTTACCACAGTCGTCACACTTGTATGGAAATGGATTTTCATGCCACTTTCTATGTATCCAGAATGTACCTCTTGAGTGGTATTTTTTACCACAGATTTCACAAACAAATGCCTCTTTTTTATGCATTTTCTTATGCTGTTCTAATTTTGGCTGCGTTGAAAACCCTTGGCCACAAATTTTGTAGTGGCCATAATATTCTGTGTGAACGGCTTCATGATCTTTCAGAGTTTTATTTCTTTTAAACGATTTCGGACAGAAACGACAATGATGTGTTACTTCCGAGTGCTCTTTCTTGGGTTTTGATGTTTTAAAGGTGATTAAATCTGTGTCCCAATCAAAAGGGATATTATCTGAAGAGAGGATTTCAAATTCATTGTACTTTTCGTTTGCTACACAATAATTTTGATCAAAACCTAGTTGTTCTTCATTGTTTGACAACTGAACTTGAGAAAAGCTTGTGAGATCAGAATTCTCAGGTTTAATAGCTGTAAAGTTTGGAAGTTCATGAAATATTTTATTACTAACTGTTATATCTGGCTGTTGAATTATGTAGAAGGAAGGTTTGATATCATTTATGACAGAGAGTTTGGGTAAAATCGGTCGCAATTTATTAATTTTGCTTTTTTCTTGCTTAAGTTCATGATTTTTTCTTTTGAGAGGTAAAGTTTTAACTTTGTTTCTTCCTAGCAGTCTCTTTTCTACTGTAATACTTGGCAAATCAGCTTGAGATATTTTTTCAGAAGCATTGGTTAAAGTCTCAATATTACATACATCGTTGTTCCTGAAGGAATCTATCAAACCCTCAACAAAAACAGAAGAATTAAGAGAGGAGTCAATTACTGGTTTATTTTCAACTATTTGACAATTAGAGCGAATTTGAAGTTTTGTTCCCTCGAAAGAAGCCGTGGGTGTTATATGAGAAGAAAACGATGTTTGAATACTGTTTTCCCTTTGCTCTGTTGAGAGATTTTCTGTCTTTACTTCTTTAAAACTGGAGTGTTGAAATTCCTGATCCTTCATATCAAATACATTTTGACTAGATGCCACAACTTCATGTTTACTGTCTAAATTATTGATAAATTTGGGTAATACCTGTGGAAGGTTATAAATATTTTTTTCACAACTTCCCACATTTTGGGTATCACTGCTGGTTGGACACTGTTCACAGTTTGATAACGTTTCAGTCTTTATTTTAACTTCAGAGGTATCATACAAATTCAATGATTCATTTTGATTAATATGTTCAGGTTTGTAAATTTTGTTGTGAGCATACTTGATATTAATTTTAGGAGGGTTCTGAAACAAACATAATTAAAATTTAGAAGACCTAAATCTATAAAATGTGATTTTAAATTTCTGTAATAATTAACATTTGATAGTGGCCAGTTATTATTTATACGAGTCATGTTTTTTTTTTTTTTTTTTTTTTTAGTAAGTACTGTTTTTATATTTCTCTGTTCCAGCACTGTAATTGGCATTTTGGACATTTGTGCTGTGTATGTGCATCTATTGGAAAGCCTGCGCCAGAAGCTCTGCAACAATCCGTCGTGTTTACATCCGGTTTCGAGCATTCAAAATGGTGCCGCCAATTGAGACTGCCGCCGACTCTGAAACTAGATTTCAGAGTCGCGCTGTAATTAGATTTTTAAGTGCTAATGGTGTAAAACCATTGAAATTCATTGATAGATTAGTGAAGTGCATGGCAAGAACATTATGCGCGACGTGATGATACAAAATTGCGTAAGAGCATTTAAACACGCGGGGCCGTCAACGTTCATGATGAGCAACGCACTAGGTGGCTCTCTGTCATTACTGAATTTTTAAGAGTAAAGTCGATGAAAAAGTGAGAGAGAACAGACGGTTTACGATCTCATGGTTATAAGATGAGTTTCCTTTACTCATAATGTTCTCGCCATACACTTCACTAATCTTTCAATGAATTACAATGGCTTTCATACCTTTAGCACTTGTAAAATATAATTACAGCACGTTCTTCACAGTCAGCGGCAGTCTCAATTGGCGGCACCATTTTGAATTCTCGAAACCGGATGTAAACACGACTGATTGTTGCCGAATTTCTGGCACAGGATTTCAAATAGATTTAAAAAACGGTACTTACTTAAAAAACATGCCTTGTAGTTAGATTTTCATGCTTTTAAAAATGCTGCACCAATGAACTGGTTTTTGACTCCACTAATAGTATAGATATCTCAGAGTAAAAGCTGACAGAAAGAAGACAGGAAAATTTCCCAGATAGGGCAAACAGGTATTTTGTAACAGGGATTTTAAGGGTATCAAATCTCCCCTTCCCCAACCGAAAGGAAGGCTTTCCCCACACAAAATGTTGGGAGATAAACTGCTAAAAAGTAAACTACAGAATACTTATTTGTCTTTAAAATCTTTGTACATGTGTATTATATTGTAACATTATGACTATTTGATACTGAAGTTGTATTCATAGTCAAAGATTGTAAGCACTACTACTTACTATTAAACTATCTTCATTGTAGATGTTAGCATATGATTCTTGGGTATCTGTAAAGACCATTAACGTTAAAGAAATGTAGAAACAAGTTGGTTACACAATTTACAATATTATATTTCATAACAGAGAGTGAAACAATACATATTTAAGACCATAATATGTTGCGCACCATGAGTGCAAGATTTATCGGGCACTTTAAATATGGTCGAGAATATGTATATAGACCCACTTTCACTCATGTTTTAAACGTTACTTTTCGCTACACACATAGATAATTATTTTCTTAACTAAAACAGACATTGTATATTTATTTGTTACAGTTAGGAACATTTCAAAACTCATAGAATTTGTTATGTTATACCTTCAATTTAAAGTTAATATTGATTGTACAGTTTTTGTTATTGCAAATTGAAACAGTTAACAAAACATTAACAAATCATTGTCTGTTTACTTTGGCAAAATCAAAAAAAGATAGTAAACATTACTTTTGCATAGCAAATGTTCTTTTTCCCTAGTAAACAATGTAATGATGAATTTTCGCAGGTGATAAACATATAACAAAACAGGTCATTTCACAGTAGTGAAGCGAAAATTTTCATTTGCTACTCATGAATAAAATAATGGGTCATGCTTTTGAGGCTAAACAGTTCTTTTATCCTTCGGGTAAGTAATGTGGTCTTTTCATTTTTCTGCTCTTTTCTTCTTCAGTTTGTTGGGGTGATAGTCCATGAGCCAAACCTAAAAATTACCTTAATTGGTACCGCCTGGGGTGGCAAATGCAGACGATGTTTTTCTTGTATAGTTTTATGTGTAGATCAAGAATATATGTAATAGCAATGTATAAGTAGTAGCTTTATGTAAAAAAGTAGGTTTTTATAAAAAAAAATTGAATTTTCTCTCAAAAAATTTAAATTTGTTTCATATATTTGTAGGAAGGTACTACTAGTCAAGGTGGCACGTGCTATCAATGTTTTTCTTGTATAGTTTTATGTGTAGATTAAGAATATATGTGATAGCAAAGCATATGTAGTAGCTTTATGTAAAATAATAGGTTTTATATAATAAAATTGAATTTTTTCAAAAAAAAATGAATTTTGTCTCATTTGTAAGAAGGTACCAGTAAAGGTGGCACGTGCTATCAATGTTTTTCTTGTATAGTTTTATGTGTAGATCAAGAATATATGTGATAGCAATACATAAGTAGTAGCTTTATGTAAAAAAAGTAGGTTTTTATAAAAAAAATTTAATTTTGTTTCATATATTTGTAGGAAGGTACCAGTCAAGGTGGCACGTGCTATCAATGTTTTTCTCGTATAGTTTTATGTGTAGATCAAGATTATGTGTGATAGTAATGCATAAGTAGTAGCTTTACGTAAAAAAATTGGTTTTTATATTTTAAAAATGAATTTTTTTTCAAAAAATTTAAATTTTCTGATAAATTTGTAAAATGGTCCCAGTCAAAGTGGCGGCACGTGCTATCAAAGTTTTTCTTGTATGTTTTTTTTATTAAGTTTTGTATGTAGATAATAAACTTACATTATAGCATTATCTATGTAGAAGCTTTTTCTTAAAGAAATCATTTTTTTAAATTTGAAAATATCATAACTTTTGTTTGAACAACATGTTTGTGGCAAATAGATTTTTAAAAAGCGTTCCAGTGAAAAAATGTTTCATGTAAATGTTGTTCTATTGTCCAATATCTAAAACAAAGCATATTTGAATATGAAACAAAATTCAATTTTTTTGAGAAAAAATTCAATTTTTTTTATAAAAACCTACTTTTTTACATAAACTTTTTTGACTGATACCTTCTTACAAATATATGAGACATGAGACATAATTAAATTTGTTTAGAAAAAATTCAATTTCGTTATATAAAACCTATTTTTTTGTACATAAAGCTACTACTTATGCATTGCTATCACATATATTCTTAATCTACACATAAAACTATACAAGAAAACATTGATAGCACTTGCCACCCCAGGTGGTACCAAAATATCAATTGGCTCATGGACTATGAGGTTCATTTGTCAGAGTTTGTTAAAAATTACAATATATTAGGAAAATCAGTTGTCCGAGGATTGATAAGTAACTTATAATATTTAGATAAATCAACTGTCCGAGTTTTCATTTGTCCGAGTTTATTAAAATATCAGTTGTCCGAGGTTGGTTTAAATAATAATAATAATTGGTTAAAGCAACTGTCCGAGCTTTCATGTGTCCGAGGTTTATTATTTTAAAAAATGTTGATATATCATTTGTACGAACTTTCAACTGTACGAGCAACATCAGCGCTAAAAGAGACACCGTCGCCGAGGCGCTAGTACAGTGTGCACATTAAAATATCAGTTGTCCGAGGTTGGTTTAAATAATAATAATACTTGGTTAAAGCAACTGTCCGAGCTTTCATGTGTCCGAGGTTTATTATTTTAAAAAAATGTTACAGTCTGTGCAAGAAGTTATGAAGCCGACACCACGCACGCCGTCGAATACGCTACCCCAGGTATCCAGGTAGCCGGGCGGAAGATGGAATGTAACCTTAAACCTAACCCGATAATAAAGGGAGAAACTAAAGTTGCTTGAAGTATTTTCTGAACTTGAAGAAATGCCGCTTTGGCGCCACCGTCCGTTCGACGGTGAGTGCGGTGTCGGTCTGATTACTTCTTGCGTGGACTGTACTAGCGTCTCGGCGGGGGTGTCACTTTTGGTGCTAATGATACTCGTACAGTTGAAAACTCTGAAAAATGATATTTCAAATTTTTAAAAATCAATTAAAACTTCGGACAAATGAAAGCTTGGTGAGTGGCTTTAACCAATTATTATAATTATTCAAGCCAACCGCGGACAACTGATATTTTTTATAAACTTGGACAGTTAATTTATCTAAATATTATTAGTTATTTATCAAACCGAATGATTTCAAAACAAATGATTTTCCTAATGTTTTGTAATTTTTAGCAAACTCGGACAAATGATGTGATTTGGTTTGTTGTTGTTAATGGACTATAGTGCTACAAGTACAAACAATATTTATTTGTAGTAGCTCTTAAACACAACCTTAAGGTAGAAAAACATTTTTACAGTAATTTATAGCTGTAGCTTTAAGAGAATAACTATAATAAGTGTTAGTACATTAAAAACATATTCACATAAAATATTTATTTGAGAATAGTGTGTACAGTGATATTTTTGCATTTTATTGAACAGTTATTAATCTTGTACAACGCAGGACTACCAGATACAGTGTTACTTGCAACGCATTCAAAAAACAAACATTATCTCATATAAGTTACACACATGCAAACACAAAAAACAAATCAAGGTTGATCTCTCTAGGTTGTTTGTTGCTGTGTATAATTTTAAACTTCATCTCCTAAGATTTTATTGAAAACTATAGAGGTCGTCCAATAGTCGAAAACTCAACCAAAAATATGTCATGTATTTTTTAGACTTATGTATTTTTACCCCAAGCTGTAAATAAAACATTTGATTGGAATTTCTTAATTTGTTTTGATTTTCTGTTTATCTTTTGTTATTATTTTGTCACCAGCATGGCAACCCACAAGGCCCATGTTAATTTTCATTTTTTTAAATTGGTTTTTTGTGCTTATTTTTTAGTCTATTTTAGTTTTTAACATCTCCGAAAAGTCTAGCTTTTTAGTAAATTTTGCTTGCTCTGGACTACAGTTTCACTAACCAACCAACTCTCAAGGGACTACAATTTAATTAATTCACCTACCTTTACCATGGGAGAAATGATCTAACTCTTCATTAAGGTCATATTTCTCATTTAGAAACCTTCTTACGATGCTCTGTACTTTCAATAAATCTTGTTCAAGTTTGTCTGTTTGGTTGATAAGTTTAGTGCAGCGAAGGCAGATTTTATCATCTTCTAAGACAACCACCATGAATGCATCTCCAAGATAGTGTGTAAGCATTGATGGAAAAGATGTATTACTGTATACAGTAGTCTCTTCACTTAAATTTATACTTTTGCCCACAACAACACAGTTGCAAATGAAACAATTTTCCTCTTGGTTCGATAACATTCTAAAACTAATATCTTCTGCATGTAGCCTCTGAAAAAGGATATTCTTTCGTGAATTAAAATTATTGGTGGATACAGTTCTGCAAAGATATTTTACCAGGGGGAAATATTACTTTGATGTACATTTAACTTTGTATCAGATATCATTTTCACGTGATATAATATCAATTTTATGAATGAATATGAACATTTTAAGCCATAGATATGTGTTTTAAGAAGAATGTTTTACACAGTTCTGCTGCGGTTAGGTTAGGTTAGTTTTGTCACAGAAAACATACTACTATAACCCAGAAGTGCATGGCAACGCTGATGGCGCTGCCTACCATTGACAGTCAAAGCTCTCTCAAAACACTTAATGCTTTTTGCTGCCTACGATTGACAGGCAAAGCTCTCTCAAAACACTTAATGCTTTTTACCACGCGGTTGGCATTCTGGGTTATAGTAATATGTTTTCTGTGGTTTTGTTCAGCTTAGCATAGTTTAGTTTATGATAGTAAAAACAAGATAACATCCATGACAATTTATAAAAAGGTCAAAATTTGTAAATGACAATTTGTTTGTCCTTATAATTGCCTAAACTCATCCAAACTAACCTAACCTAAACACCGCAGAGTATGTAAGAGAATGGCAGGCGGCCCTTTTCTTGAACAAGTTAACTTACTTACACCGATAACAACAACAGAAAGTCAATAAGTTTATTTACATCGGGTGAAATTTCATACCAAAAAGGGGTAGCGGATTTTTATCCCCCTGGAATTTTACCCCCTGGTAGAATGTGACATCACAAACCGTAAAATTCCGGCCGTGAACTTCTGAGTTTCGCGATATCAGTTTGATGGATTAAACGCGGAATTAAACGCATATTTTCACGGTTGTGAATTTAATCAGAACACATCAAATTATAAAAACCTAGAGCGTACGGGCCGGAATTTTACCCCCGGACTTCAACCCCCTTCATGTGGTCAGCTCAAAATGTACGGCCCGGATTTTAACCCCCGGAATTTTACCCCCGGATTTTTACCCCGGAATTTTACCCCCTGGCCAGATATATAAATTAGTGAGAATGGTTAATTATCTTCATTCCGTTTTAATTTAATAGTAAACATCTTATTATTAAGTAGCCTATCTTAATTTATCTATAACATCAACTAATCGAACAGTAAAATGGTATAAGATTACCTGTTTCCGTCTGTGATCCTAATTTGTAGTAATGAGTTACCGGTTTCGAGGTTATAACCTCATCATCAGGCTCTTGTCACTCTTGCGAGGTCGTCGAGTTTTACAAACACACAAAACACTGACATTTAAATAAATAAAATACAAGACATTGACGGACGAATACGATTTAACATAAAAATCTGAAACTAGTTCCACACACGACGCGGCACGGGCAAACGTTTTGTCATGACTGGGGTTGTGGCTGACCTTGCTGCCCCCTCCCGTTATCAGAACAATGCCGATGGTATTTTTGCCTCTCATTATTGTAGATTCGAATCGCTGCGTCGTATATTATGTTCGATTTAAATGATGTTTGTTCATTTAAAACTTTTTGGGGTTCTGACTTGATGGCTTTATAGATTTCAAACTCTTCTATGCTGTTTAACAAGCTTCCTTTTCTTGGACAGAGATGTAGTATTTTTAAATTCTTCTCAAAACTTGTGTAATTATGGTTTTCATTTATTAGATGGTTGGCGAATGTTGATTTTGAATCAGATTTTTTACTGGACGGGATGTGTTCTTTATATCTTATATGAAATGAACGAGATGTTTGGCCTATGTAATATTTTTCAGTCGTCGCACTGAAGCTTGTAAACCCCAGTGTTGTCCTCCTTCCTGGTTGTTTGTTTATTATTATTTTCATTCAACATTGAGCTCAGTTTGTTGTTTGCTCTAAATGAAACTGTGACATTGTTTTTCGCCATTTCCTTCTAATGTGTGATTGAGGACAAAGCCGTTCATTTCATATAAGATATAAAGAACACATCCCGTCCAGTAAAAAATCTGATTTGAAATCAATATTTGCCAACCATCTAAGAAATGAAAACCATAATTACACAAGTTTTGAGAGAAGCATGACAAGAGCGACATCGTCTGAGCGACAACAGCTAATTTATGCAGCAACAAATACTGTTATACTGTTAATACTGTTCAATGACATGGCGACCATACATAGTAGGTATTTTAAGCAAAGTATGAATGGAGATGAGTGTAAAAGCTGTTATACACAACTAGCTGATACCCACGGGCTCCTGCTTGACTTCATAAGCATTAAGCTAATAAAACTATTTATTGACTAAGTTAAGCTGAAATAAACAAAACACAATACAGTAATACAAACAAATAATCACACCTGATTTATTAAGGTAATTATTAACTTGAAAGAATAACAAACAAATAAGTACAGCTGAGGCATTTTTAAAATTGGGTTTATGGAAAGTTCACTTTAGAAAGGAATTACAACCTTAAAGGGCAATTTATGAAACAATGGATAGTTTTGAGCAAGGTTTCTCGTCATGACGAACATGGTTTATGGGGGTGTGACTTGTAGTTTTCTCAAAAGTTCATGGGGATTTTGGGATTTATATATGAATGAGAACTGTCAAAGTAGGATAGTTTATGTTTTTAATTTAATAAATAATTCGTGATATTTTGAGCTGGCTATGGTAAATAAATAACCAAATCGTATCAAAACCGTGTCCTCCCCCATTGCAAACGCAGTCCACATAAGCAATTTATACTTATACTGTACACTAACCTCGTACGAAGGACTATAAGTATTGTGTTCATTAACTGACAAAGCTATAATTTTAGCTGTTTCATGATTTTGTTGATAATTTGTAAAAATTCAAAAGACAATAAAGAATATTTCATTTGATTTCAACATGGTTATAACTAATGTATTACAACACAATACAGCATGGAAGAAACTACACACACCCTTTATGGTTTTACAGGGATGATAATAGGCCAAAATCTAACATCCAGCAACGACTCAATGATGAAGAGCACCACCTGAACCGGTAGTGCCCTGTCACCGGTCGTTGTTGAATGTTCTCTGCTGACCGCTGTTCAGTAATAAATCTAAACCTTATTTTCATTATTTTGTGTATGGTATTGTATCTCTGTGTGGGTTTTGTTTTGTGTGAGATGGATAGCATGACCTCTCTGACAAATGATTATGGGGGCTGAAACCCATGTCTTCCTATACAAACCAAGGTAGAGCTGACATAAAATTTTGTATAATATGTATTATATCAATCAACTTTGGTGGCAAACGGTAACTGAACTACTAATGAGCCAAGAAGCAATCCTTTCAGCATGAACCAGCAATCTTTCCCTTGTAAACAATATCCGCACTTTACCCTCCCTCATTGTATAAGGGCCATAACCATCAGTCGTCTGGCGATAAGCGTCGTCGGATATGTTTAATGTGATAAATGTCCTTATCTCGTACAATTCAATAATTCAAACATTTTTTAAAACACACAGCGAAGCATAAATGTCATCCATAGGGCTGCAAATGGTGTCATTTGCTAACTACGGAGCTATACACAAAAACGGCCTTTACTTAAAAAAACAACCCTTGTAAGTGGTCTCAACTCTGTCTTTGAATAACAGGTCCTTCTTTGTATTATTTCCTGACTTTGTTGATCTAAGCATACATTTTCTATGGAAGAAAATTAGGTGAATGGTGTGGGGTTGAGACAAAGAAATTATTACTTACAGTTTAGGTTTTATTTCTAGTACCTGAATTACATAAAACACAAAAGCAGTTAATTTTTCATTTTCACAAGACATATTTAACAAATAAAAAAAACTTAAACTAACATATCAGATTGTTTATATGACACACATAATCAACGTAGTGGGTTTAATAATTTTTAACACCCAAAAATAATGTATTTCTTAAAATTACATTGAAATGGAAAAATTTACAAAAACTTAACATAACTGGCTTTTTAGATCAATACACACTAAGATAAAATCTCTGGAAAGTTCTTTAACATTATATCAAAGTTGTCAGTTTTCATATATTAAAACATTAGGTTCAGAATAATTATCCTAACAAATAAACAGTTCTATATACAACTAACCGTTTTTATAAAAACATGGAATGAACAATGAAGATTTGTATCTTAGCAATGCATGACTTTAAATGATTATTGCTGCTACGCTTTTGTGCACCACCTCATTATTACATGAGGACAAGAGTGATGATGAAGGAAGTTTCCCTGGACATCAATATTCTTAAGAGCACTCTATCCTGTGTGAACCGATGTATATTTTTTCATTTTTAATATTGGTTGTAAGGGATTGATTCTGAATGGCAAGAGCAATGCGGAAATTCCTTTTGCACAGGACACAGGATGTATTCTTCCTTCATCGTGAGCATGTGGTACATGAGGACGAGAGTGATGATGATGGAATTTTCCCTAGACACCAATACTCTTAAGAGGTCTCTATCCTGTGTGAAGTATTGGTTGTGAAGTATTTTCCACAACCACAAGCAGAAGTACACATATGAGGTCCCTTCCCTGTTTGAACTAATGAATGTGTCTTCATATAGCTTTGGTATGCAAAAATAATTCCCGTATGTAATGCATTTACAGATGTTCTCTGTGGTATGAAGTAACGTATGTGTCTTCAAATAGGTTTTGGTTTTGAAGAATTTTTTACATATAGTGCACTTATGAGGTCGCTCTCTGCTGTGAACCAATGTATGTCTTTTCATATAGTTTTTGGTTGTAAAGGATTTACCACATATAGTGCACTTACAGATGTTCTCTGGTATGAACTAACATATGTGTCTTCAAATAGTATTTGGTTTTGAATGATTTTCCACATATAGTGCACTTATAAGGTCGCTCTTCCATGTGAACCAATGTGTGTACCTTCATTATAGTACTGGTTTTGAAGGATTTTCCACATATAGTGCACTTATGAGGTCGCTCTTCCGTGTGAACCAATGTATGTTGCCTCATACTGATTTTGGTTTTGAAGCATTTTCCACATATAGTGCATTTATAAGGTCGCTCTTCGGTATGAACCAACATGTGTTTCTTCATTACATCATTGGTTGTGAAGGATTTTCCACATATAGTGCACTTATGAGGTCGCTCTTCCATGTGAACCAATGTATGTTGCCTCATTGTGTTTTCGGTTTTGAAGGAATTTCCACATATAGTGCACTTGTGAGGTCTCTTTCCCGTGTGAATCAATGTATGAATTTTCATATAGTAATTGGTTGTGAAGGATTTTCCACATATAGTGCAGTTATAAGATCGTTCTGTGATGTGAGCCAATGTATGACCTTTCATTATATTTTTGGTTTTGAAGGATTTTCCACATAAATTGCAATAATAAGGTCGCTCTTTGATGTGCACCAACGTGTGTTTCTTCATAACATCAATGGTTTTGAAGGATTTTCCACATGTAGTACACTTATGAGGTCGCTCTTCCATGTGAATCAATGTATGTTTCCTCATACTGATTTTGGTTTTGAAGGATTTTCCACATATAGAGCACGTATGAGGTCTCTTTTCTGTGTGAATCAATGTATGAATTTTCATATTGTAATTGGTTGTGGAGAATTTTCCACATATAGTGCACTGATAAGATTGCTCTGTGGTGTGAGTCAATGTATGTTTCTTCAAATTGCTACTGGTTGTGAAGGATTTTTCACATATGGTGCACTTATGAGGTCCCTCTCCGGTGTGAGCCAATGTATGTTTCATCATATAGTGTTTGGTTGTGAAGGATTTGCTACATATGGTGCACTTATAAAGACACTTATTATGGGTCAACAAATGACACTTTACTTCATATCGGTTAATAAATGTTTCCTCACATGTCAAACATTTGAAGGGACGTTCACCTGTATGTACATATATATGATTTTTCAATGTAAATTTATTTGAAAACATTTTTTTACATATTAGACACTTAAAAGAATGATTTTCAATGACCTTTGACATTTTTTACTTTGCACTTTCTGACTCTGTGTAACTTATCAAACAAGCAACTAACTATAATCAAGATTGTAGCTAAATACTATGTAGGCCTAATGTATGATATTTCTTCTGTTACGTCAAGGTGTATATAACTAAACTTTGAATAGACTAGACTCTTCCTCGAAATTTGTTATTGATACGAGATATGACATAATTTAGAAATTTTTTTGCTTGTCTTAAATAAGATTTCTTATCCTATTAACTGTTCAGTAAAATAATCTGTCATTGTGTTGGTTTTAAATATTATTAGACTTAAAAGACATAAATGTTAATTATGATTTAATATATAATTTTACAGAGTGAATTGCTGACTTCCATTTGTTTTTAAGTGTAGTGTAATAGAAACTTACTAGCCTTTTTAGCTGTTTTTTAAGTAACCTATTATATTTGAGATGGTCTAAATTAGCTTCTCTGCGCCGAATTGAAGTTCCTTTTCAAACATCTGAGAAAGTTTATTGCCATTTCTGAAAACACCCATATTTTATTAGATATGTACATTTATTGTAAATATTTAGGTTAATTTTTGTGAGTTCAAAACATATCAAAAATGTATTCTGGATCGATAACATCATAATAATCCAAAATATGATTTATAAATTCAATTAAAATTTATGTAATCAAATCAGTAGCAGATGTAGAACAGTCACAAGGGGGAGGGGCAAACCAGGGGGTCTGAGGGTCAGGTGTATCCCCCTGAAAAATTTGTGTAAACTAAGTCTCCAAAATGGCAGTTTTATACCATTTCTTTTTCCAAAGTTAATGGGACAAATTATTTTACATAATGTGTATGCACTACTGTATTTCATGCGGTAAAATATATACACCGTTTTATTTCTAGTACCTGAATGACATCTAACACAAAAGCAGTTAATTTTCACAAGACATATTTAACTAACAAATAAAAAAAACTTAAACTAATATATCAGATTGTTTATCTGACACACATAATCAATGTAGTGGGTTTACATGTATGAATAATTTTTAATGCCCAAAAATAATGTATTTCTTAAACTTACATTGAAATGGAAAAATGTACAAAATCTTAAAATAACTGGATTTTTGGATCAACACACACTTAAGATAAAATCTCAGGAAAGTTCTTTAACATTATATTAAAGTTGTCAGTTTTCATATATTAAACCATTATAGAATAATTATCCTAAAATAATCAGTTTTATATACAACTAACCGTTTTATAAAAACATGAAATGAACAATGAAGATTTGTATCTTGGCAATGCATGCCTTTAACAATCAAGAATGTTGTATTTTGCCAATAAAAAATTCCTCTTTGTGGGATCTACAACATTAATATTCATGGCAATGTCATTTATAGACTCTTGTATGAACTAACGTGTGTGACTTCAAATAGTTATTTGTTTTGAAGGATTTTCCACATATATTGCATTTATGAGGTCGCTCTCCGCTGTGAACCAATGTATGAACCTTCATTATATTTTTGGTTTTGAATGATTTTCCACATATAGTGCATTTATAAGGTCGCTCTCCGCTGTGAACCACTGTATGAGCTATCATTATATTTTTAGTTTTGAAGGATTTTCCACATATATTGCACTTATGAGGCCGCTCTCCGCTGTGAACCAATGTATGAACCTTCATTATATTTTTAGTTTTGAATGATTTTCCACATATAGTACATTTATGAGGTCGCTCTCCGCTGTGAACCCCTGTATGAGCTATCATTATATTTTTAGTTTTGAAGGATTTTCCACATATATTGCACTTATGAGGTCGCTCTCTGCTGTGAACCAATGTATGAGCATTCATTATATTTTTGGTTTTGAAGGATTTTCCACATAAAGTGCACTTATGAGGTCGCTCTCCGCTGTGAACCAATGTGTGTTCTTTCATTTTATTTTTGGTTTTGAAGGATTTTTCACATATATTACACTTGTAAGGTCGCTCTTCGAAGTGAACCAATGTGTGTTCCTTCATTATAGTATTGGTTGTGAAGGATTTTCCACATATATTGCACTTATGAGGTCGCTCTCCGCTGTGAACCAATGTATGTTTTCGTATATATTTTTTGGTTGTGAAGGATTTTCCACATACAGTGCACTTATGAGGTCGCTCTCCGCTGTGAACCAATGTGTGTTCTTTCATTTTATTTTTGGTTTTGAAGGATTTTTCACATATATTACACTTGTAAGGTCGCTCTTCGAAGTGAACCAATGTGTGTTCCTTCATTATAGTATTGGTTGTGAAGGATTTTCCACATATATTGCACTTATGAGGTCGCTCTCCGCTGTGAACCAATGTGTGTTCTTTCATTTTATTTTTGGTTTTGAAGGATTTTTCACATATATTACACTTGTAAGGTCGCTCTTCGAAGTGAACCAATGTGTGTTCCTTCATTATAGTATTGGTTGTGAAGGATTTTCCACATATATTGCACTTATGAGGTCGCTCTCCGCTGTGAACCAATGTATGTTTTCGTATATATTTTTTGGTTGTGAAGGATTTTCCACATACAGTGCACTTATAAGGTCGCTCTCCAGTGTGAATAAATGTATGCTGCCTCATATAGTTTTCGTTTTTAAATGATTTTCCACATATAGTGCACTTATAAGGTCGCTCTTCCGTGTGAACCAATGTATGTCGCTTCATTATAGGATTGGTTGTGAAGGATTTTCCACAAGTAGTGCACTTATAAGGTCGCTCTTCTGTGTGAACCAATGTATGTTGCCTCATACAGATTTTGGTTTTGAAGGAGTTTCCACATACAGTGCACTTATAAGGTCGCTCTTCCGTGTGAACCGATATATGTTGTCTCATATAGTATTTGTTTGTAAATGATTTTCCACATATAGTGCACTTATAAGGTCGCTCTTCCGTGTGAACCAATGTATGTCGCTTCATTATAGTATTGGTTGTGAAGGATTTTCCACATATAGTGCACTTATGAGGTCTGTTTCCTGTGTGAATCAATGTATGCCTTTTCATATCGCAATTGGTTGTGAAGGATTTTCCACAAATAGTACACTTATGAGATCGTTCTCCAGTGTGAGCCAGTGTATGTGTCTTCATAATGCTACTGGTTAAGAAGGATTTTCCACATATTGTACACTTATAAGGACAATTTTTATGTGTCAATAAATGACACTTTACTTTATATAGGCTTATAAATGTTTCCTCACATGTTAAACATTTAAAGGGACGTTCACCTGTATGTACATATATATGATTTTTCATGTTCCATTGAGTTGAAAATATTTTTCTACATATTGGACACTTAAAAGAAATATTTTTAATGACCTGCGACATTTTTTACTTTGACCTTTCTGACTTTGTGAAACTTATCCAACAAGCACCTAACTAACTATAATCAGGATTATAACTCCTGTGTGGTGTTGTATGATACCGTATTTATTTTTATGTCAAGGTGTATATAATTAAACTTTGAATAGTCTCTTCCTCAAACTTTGTTAATTATATGAGATTTTATGACATAATTTAGACATTTTTTTTGCTTGTCTTAAATGAGATTTCTTATCTTATTAACTTTTACGTAAAATAATCTGTCATTGTGTTGGTTTTAAATATTATTACACTTAAAGACATAAATGTTAATTATGATCCAACAGGTAATTTTACACAGTGATATGCTGGCTTCCATTTGTTTTTTAAGTGTGGTAAAAACTTACTAGCCTTTTTAGCGGTTTCATAAGTAACCTATTATATTTGAGATGTTCTAAATTAGCTTCTCTGCGCCGAATTGAAGTTCCTTTACATCACGTCTGAGAAAGTGTATTGCCATTTCTGAAAACACCCATATTTTATTAGATATGTACATTTTTTATTGTAAATATTTAGGTTAAACAGTGAGTTCAAAACATTACAAAAATGTATACTGGTTTGAGAACATCATTATAATCCAAAATATGATTTATAAATGCAATTAAAATTTATGTAATCAAATCAGTGGCGGATCTAGAACAGTCATAAGGGGGGCAAACCGGGGGGGTCTTGAGGGTCGGGAGTATACCCCTGAAAAATTTGTGTAAACTAAATCTCCAAAATTGCAGTTTTATACCATTTCTTTTTTGAAAACATTTGTGTCTTGCTACTAAGCGTGACTCACTCACCCCTACCCGGATTATCCATTATCTTTTTTAAAAAACTACATACATAATCAGAAACAAGCAGTTTGTATAAAAGGAAGATGGTCAGATGAAGTTAAAGTTGAATGGGGAGTGCCACAAGGTACAGTCCTTGGCCTCCTTCTTGTCTTTATTTGTTATATCTAAATACTATAATCCCACATATGTAACTAAGGGATACAAATTCTAGACCACTTCTAGATGAGCTAGAGACTTGAAATTTTCGGTGGTCGTAGGTCTAGTGCCCAAACCCCCGGGAAAAATCCGAAAAGTCCCATTTTCAAATTTTAACCCCCCCGAAATTTCGAATTTCCCCCCCCCGTGTTATTCTTATGGGAAAAAACATTGAAAAATACCGAATTTGGTACTCTCATATGAACCGCTTAGAAACGTGCTAGAGACTTCAAATTTGCGTAGTATTGTAGTATGAGATCTTATATTACCAGTGGAATTTGCAAAAGTCCCATTTTCAAATTTTAACCCCCTCAAAAATCCAAAATGGCGGACCTCTGAAAACGAAAAAAAACACTTTGTTTCAACCGGATGTAGCTCGAAAACGGTAAGAGCTAGAAAAGATTTGAAAGTATATCCAGGAACAGGAATTAAATTTTCTACAAAACCCTCTTTGACGTTTTCCGAAAATCGCACTCCTTCAGTTTCAAAAAACGCCCTACTTTCAAAATTTTGTAAATTTCTTTCAAATTTTTACCGGTTTTCGCTATGTTTTCATACTTAAATAATTTCTTTTTTCAAAAATTGTTATTGCTTTGTATTCTCCTTACTTTACTTTAAATTTTACTCACTACATGTTTTTTCGTAACTTTACTCCTTGACCCCCAAAACTTAATTTTAATCTCAAAATTTGAAGGTTTTTTGCCACTTTTACGAGCCCCGTGTTATTCTTATGGAGAATAAGATTGAAATATAATGACTTTGGTATGGTCATATGAATCGTTTAGAAATGTGCTAGAGACTTGTAATTTGGTAGTATTGTAGTAAGGGATCATAAGCTAATGGTGAAATTTTCAAAAGTCCCATTTTCAAATTTTAACCCCCCCAAAAATCCAAAATGGCGGACCTCTGAAAACGATAAAACACGTTTTTTTCAAACGGATTTAGCTCGAAAACAGTAAGAGCTAGAAAAGATTTGAAAGTATATCCAGGAACAGGAATTAAATTTTCTACAAAACCCTCGCATCTGTTTTCCGAAAATCGCACTCTTTCGGGTTCAAAAAACTCCCTACTTTCAAAATTTGGTAAATTTCTTTCAACTTTTTACCGGTTTTCGCTATTTTTTCATACTTAAATCATTCCTTTTTGCAAATATTATTATTGCTTTGTATTCTCCTTACTTTTGTTTTTTAAGTGTGGTAAAAACTTACTAGCCTTTTTAGCGGTTTCTTAAGTAACCTATTATATTTGAGATGTTCTAAATTAGCTTCTCTGCGCCGAATTGAAGTTCCTTTACATCACGTCTGAGAAAGTGTATTGCCATTTCTGAAAACACCCATATTTTATTAGATATGTACATTTTTTATTGTAAATATTTAGGTTAAACAGTGAGTTCAAAACATTACAAAAATGTATACTGGTTTGAGAACATCATTATAATCCAAAATATGATTTATAAATGCAATTAAAATTTATGTAATCAAATCAGTGGCGGATCTAGAACAGTCACAAGGGGGGCAAACCGGGGGGTCTTGGGGGTCGGGAGTATACCCCTGAAAAATTTGTGTAAACTAAATCTCCAAAATTGCAGTTTTATACCATTTCTTTTTTGAAAACATTTGTGTCTTGCTACTAAGCGTGACTCACTCACCCCTACCCGGATTATCCATTATCTTTTTTAAAAAACTACATACATAATCAGAAACAAGCAGTTTGTATAAAAGGAAGATGGTCAGATGAAGTTAAAGTTGAATGGGGAGTGCCACAAGGTACAGTCCTTGGCCTCCTTCTTGTCTTTATTTGTTATATAAATAATCTACCCTCTGATGTTTATTGTAAAATCATTCTGTACACAAAGATTCTTCCTTTTTATCTACGAGTGAAAACTATAAAGAGCTTGTAAAATTGGCTGATGAAACATTAAATAATGCACAAAATTGGTTTCATAGTAATGAACGCTAAACTAAGATAAATCACAAAATTTAATATTTTCTTTAGATTAATATTCAAAACAATTGTTGGAGAGTAGTGATAAAGGATATTTAGGCCTAAAATAAGTATTTCTCATTTTGTTTAGTTAGCTAAGTATTGTTTCCATTAACCTATAATTTAACCTGTTAACCTAACGTAATCTATAATTTTAGCTATTTCATGACATTTTTGATAGATTGTAAAAATACAAAAGACATTGAGGAATATTTCATTTAATTTCAATGAGTTATTAACTAAGGTGTTATAGTACAATATAACATGGAAGGAACTATATGGTTTGCAGGGATTTTAATAGGCCAAAATCTTACATCCAGCAACGACAAAATGATGAAGAACATCACCTGTGTTCTCTTCTGACCAATGTTAGGTAATAAATCTAAACCTGGTTTTCATTATTTCATGTAATTTGTCTTTTTGTGGGTTTTGTTTTGTGTGTGATGGATAGCATGACCCCCAGATTATGGGGCCGAAACCCATGTCTTCCTAAACAAAAACGAGTTACAGCTGGCATAACATTTGGTATAATATGTATATCAATCAACTTTGGTGGCAAACGGTAACTAAACTGACTAATGAGCCAAGAAGCAATCCTTTCAGCATGAACCAGCAATCTTTCCCTTGTAACCAATATCCGCACTTACCCTCCCCCATTGTATAAGGGCCATAACCATCAGTTGTCTGGCGATGAGCGTCGTCGGATATGTTTAATGTGATAAATGTCCTTATCTCGTACAATTCAATAATTTAAACATTTTTTAAACACACAGTGAAGCATAAACGTCAGCTATAGGGCTGCAAATGGTGTCATTTGCGAACTAAGGAGCTATAACACAAAACAAAATCAGCGTTTACTTAAAAAAAAAAAACGAGCCTTGTATGTAATCTTGTTAACTCTGTCTTTTAAATAACAGGTCCTTCTTTGTATTATTTTCTGCCTTTGTTGAGCTAAGCATACATTTTCTATGGAAAAAAATTAGGTAAATGGTCTGGGGTTGATACAAAGACATTATCACTTATAGTTTAGGTTTTATTTCTAGTACCTGAATGACATCAAACACAAAAGCAGTTAATTTTAAATTTTAACAAGACATATATTTAATTAACAAATAAAAAAAACTTAAACTAACATAATAATCAGATTGTTTATTTGACACACATAATCAACGTAGTGGGTTTACGCGTATGAATAGTTTTAACAAAAAAAAAACGTATTTCTTAAAATTTACATTGAAATGGAATAATTTACAAAAACTTAACATAACTGGCTTTTTAGATCAATACACACTTAAGTAAATCTCTGGAAAGTTCTCTAACATTATATTTAAGTTGTCAGTTGTCATATATTAAAACATTATAGAATAATTATCCTTAAAAAAAATCAGTCCTATATACAACTAAGCGTTTTATAAAAACATTGAATGAACAATGAAGATTTGTATCTGAGCAATGCATCACTTTAAATTATTATTGCTGCTAAGCTTTCGTGCACCACCTCATTGTAAAAATTGTAATCCCAATTTTAGTTACTTCACCAACTAAATAAATCCATGTAACTGTCATGCAATGCCATTTTTTACAATAATTCCTACAATACTCTTAGGAGACCAACTTGTTTTGGAAAGATACATTAAGAGTCCTTGGAGCCTATATGTTCTTACTCATAAAAGAACTACAAAGAAGATGTCTAATCTCATGTGAAAGTTTGTTTGTTTGTTTAAAGTTCAATCACGCATTAACTACTGGACGGATTGGGCTGAAATTTGGCATGATGATGAGCTCACATTCCCGATTAATATATAGACATATTCTTATCTCAAAAATCTTCAAGGGCTCCACCCCATCGGCTCTGTAGTTCCCCATGTTAACCTAATGGGTATTCATATTTAATGGGAATTAAAGAATTTAGACAGCTGTTTCAACTAAAAAAGTTGGTTCTATGATATGCAAAAGCATTAAAAAGTTATAAGATTTACCAACAGGGTGTAGCACTATTATTTTTGTAGCATTTATGAAAACAGCTAATTTGAACTAAGCAGCAACAAAAAACTGGGATACGCTATGAGAACTATCAAAGTAGGATTGTTAACAGTTATGTTTATGTTTTTAATTTCATGAATGGTTTGTGATATTTTAAGAATTTTAAATAATTTATTTTTGCTCTATAGTTTAGGAGAATTGGTAGAACATTATGGCTATGGTCATTGACTATTGGATACAGAAGAAGACGTCCCATCTAGCCTATATGGATCAGCTGTCGCCAGTTTTTTTTACTAAAAACGAATGTAGTTGTGTGAGCCAGTCACAGATTGCTCTAGTGTCTAAAACTCTATTTTGTACCTTATTTTTTGTTACTGACATAGTTGCTAGGTCTTAACAGTTGCTATAGCTCATAATAAGTCATTCGATTCGTTTGACTTGGTAAAAATCATCGTGTAATCTGCAGAAATAAGTAATTTATATCAGCGCAATCTGTAGGTGGCTCACACACATCAACTAAGACAAATTTGATTAAAAAGCTGGCGACAACTTTAACGGATGGAATGTCTAGTTGTATTAAATAGTCAAAGCTATTGTAGATGTGTAATAATCTAGTATACCGTAAATTTAAAGAAGCAAATTTTATCAAACTGCGTCCTCCTCCATTGCAAACGCAAAGCTTGAGTATAACTGCAATAAGCATTTAATACTTGATGCCAACCCCATACGAAGGACGGGTACTCTGCTAGTATACTATTAAATTACAATCATTCTGGTGTTTAAAAAAATATTTTTTGGATGGTAAATAACTCTTCAGCGGCTGTTAGAAATTAACTAAATTAACATTGCTCTTATGGTGGGCAAATCCGAGATGGCCGTTAGCTTCCATGGACTCCCTTGGAGAAAATTTTAAAACTACAAAGAATATTTCTAATCTTATAGTAAACTAGATATTTAAATTGTAATCACTTTGGTGTCTGAACAAATATCTTTGGATGATAAATAACTCTTCAGCATCTGTTTGAAATTATCCAAGATGCAGTAGCGTACCAACGGGGGGGCGGTCCGCCCCAGGCCCCACACCAACATAGGCCCCCAAATCAGGGCCGTATTCCCCCAACGGCGGACACGGTGCGGCGATTGCCGAAGGCCTCTCATTGGCCTAGGAAGGGGCCTCACTTGGGTCTCAAAAAACGTATTTTGTCTTGGAAAATAAATTTTGCTGTTAGAATATAATAATCTGTTCTCCCAATTATAATAATCTGCCGCAAGCGTCTTCAAAAATGGCGCGATCGAAAATCACGCCACCCAGCGATCGCGATCCGCGGATGACGATAATAACGTCTCGCAACCGCAAAAGATGTTCCGTGTTCACGATTTTGCCGTGATCGCGGGGTACGATAATGTTGTCCGCACGTTAGCGGGAGATGTTAACAACTTTGGCATGTAGAAATACTCCTTTTATCTATGGTATAATATATCCCTACGTCTGCGAAAGATGTTCACTATTCCATCGTAAACATAAGAACGATTTCTCCTCGGTCTCGGAGATAACCCACGCGACCGCGGGAGACGGAGATTACGACCCCGCAAACACGATTTCGTCTTCACCGAGGACAATATCGTTCATTTTTGTCCCGATCGCAGAAGTAGTTTGGACCAATTATAGTACAAAATATAATGTATAATAGAAAGATAATAAAATTATATATTTTATACAAAAATAGTAGGCCTATCTCCTAAATAAAAAAATTAAAATAAGTGACAGCAAAAAACCCGATTTGTGTTACTTCTTGTTGTGCTCATTTCATTTCTTATAACTTTATTTATTTAAGTACAATACATAAATACAGGAATATGCTCGTGCTCATTACATATCTCCAACTCATAAAAACAAAAAAATGTTAAAAGCTTAAAGGAAAATTTCATTTAGCATTAAATGTTTCTCAAATAAAAAAATAGGTTAGGCCTACAAACACATACTATACTTTTAAAATAGTTGAAGTAAGCTAATTTAATGGGTGATACAAAATACATTAAAAGCATATATATTTCTTTTTAGTTCTAATCACTGTTTAGGGTTACTTTTCAATTAACACCATGGTACCTACATTGTTAAAAATTATTTTAAACAGGGTACTATGGTATTTATTTTTTTACTTATATATATATATGTATATATGTATGTAAAAAAGGCCCTCTCATCCAAGCCGCCCCAGGCCCCAACTATGACAATACGCCACTGCCAAGATGGCCACTAGCCTCCAAGGACTCTTAAGTATATTGCATCAATGGTTTTAAAATATAGATTATTCTAATATCGTACTCGGTCATAAACCAATGTAGGCCAAGAAATTTCACACATATTCAACTTCATATTGCTGTTGCTTTTTAGGAGATAGCTCTCGCATGTGAACACATGAATACTTCTTCTTCATTTTTAATATTGGTTGTAAAGGATTGATTCTGAACGGCAAAAGCTATGTGGAAATTCCTATTGCACAGGACACAGGATGCATTCTTCCTTCATCGTCAGCATTGTGGTACATGAAGAAGAGAGTGATGGTGATGGAATTTTTCCTAGAAACCAATACTCTTCAGAGCACTCTATCCTGTGTGAACCGATGAATATTTCTTCATTTTTAATATTGGTTGTAAAGGGTTGATTCTGAACGGCAAGAGGTATGCGGAAATTCCTATTACACAGGACACAGGGTGCATTCTTCCTTCATTGTGAGCATTGTGGTACGAGGACGAGAGTGATGATGATGGAATTTTCCCTTGACACCAATACTCTTAAGAGGTCACTATTCTGTGTGAACCGATGAATATTTCTTTAAATATTTTAGTATTTATTAAATTGTCAATTATCAAAGTCAAATAAAAGAATAGTCAATTTCAGTACAACATTTCAATAACTATTTATTTACTTATCATTTAACATTATTAAAAACATGTGACATTTAATCTTCACAAATATGTTATAGCATAAATATAAAGATTAATCAATGGTCATAAATATATATGAAATTAGTCATTAACATCTTTCCCCTCCTCAGTTAGAATGGCAATTTTTGTCATCGGACGCCGAAAAGTGCCTTTTGGTGTTGTGATGTCAACAACTCTTACTTGTCCATCTCGACTGGGGTATAGGGCAGATATTCTTCCAAGGGGCCAGGTGTTACGTGCATTGTCTTCGTCTACGATTATTGCCAAGTCGTTAATTTCAGGTGGAATAGTTCGTTTGTCTTCGTCCATCCAGGCTTTCCACTTCAGACTAAGTTCAGGTGTCACAACATTATCCCAACCTAGTTTTGTTCTCCATATATCCTGAACCAGTAGTCTCCCTTTTACTGTGGTAGGGGCAATCAGACCTAGAGGATCGAAGATTGACATAGCTGCTTTAAGAATCTCTCGTTTTGTCGGATACTCAGATTCAAGAAATTCAAGTTTTTCGACATTGCGATGGAACACAAAGCAGTCGGATTCAGCGTCCCACCATAATCCAAGTACTCGTTCTGTAGGAAGTCGAGTATCGGGCATCAAATGTTTGGCTTGGCTGGCTTTCAGGTTTTCAGGAATTTTCGAAAGTACTTGTTTTGAATTAGACATCCAGTTACAAATTTGGAATCCTCCAGCTCTATGTATCTCAATTATTTCTTGAACACGTCGTTTAGCTTCCTCTTCTGTGTCAGTCGAATTCAGCAGGTCGTCCATTATTCTTTAGTCAGTATGGAATTACTAGCTTCAGGATACAAAGATTGAAACTATCTTGCATTGTGGTTTACAACAAACAGTGCAGAGCTTGGTGAACATGTTGCTCCGAAGGTCATCGCTTTCATTATGTAGGTATCTGGGGGTTTGGTCATCGCTTTCATTATGTAGGTATCTGGGGGTTTGGTTTTGTCTTTTCGCCACAGAAATCTTTGTGAGTCAACATCCTCATCTCTCATATTTACTTGGTGAAACATCTCCTTTATATCTCCCACGATAGCAAATTTTCCTAACCGGAATTTCAACAGCACAGACGGCAATGGATTCAAATAGTCAGGGCCGCTGAGTAGTGCATCATTGAACGAAACTCCGTGAGATTTAGCAGCAGCATCGAAAACCAATCTTATTTTGTTAGGTTTGTTCGGGTTCGATACTCCAAAGTGGGGTAGATAGAATGTTCGACCTATTATGATAGCAGCTTTTTCAGGGCTGAGTTTTGTAATATATTCTTTTTCGATATATTCGCCAATCTTGGTGGTGTAAGCTTCTTTAAATTCCAGATCTCTTTCCATTTTCTTTTCAAGATTATTTAATCTTCTCAGAGCATTGTCATAACTTGGAGGAAAATTAAATTCGTCATCTTTCCATAAAAGACCAACTTCGTAATGATCTCCTGTTTTCTTTATGGAATCCTCAAGAATTGATACTCCACGTTCTTCTTCTATGGACAATTTCAGGTTGTTTGATCTAGTTTCTCCATATTTCTCTAATTCAAAGGATTTCTTTACCATGTCATGAAGTGAAGATTCTTCATATGAGAGTAGGGTAAAATTCTCATCCACACGATTTCTGAATTGTGCACACTTCCCATGTAGAGTCCAACCAAGAAGGCACCATGACAGTACTGGGGCGTTAGTAGGACCTTCAATAATCTTACGGATTAGAATAAGATTACAGTTGTCTTGGCCTATCAAGAGAGTGGGCCTGACACCCGCTAATGGAAGAGGTTGGTTGATCGAGTCTAGGTGTGGCCAGTTCTTCCTCATTTTGACTCTGTCTGTTTGTTGGTGTGGTAACTATAAAGTGGACTGAGTTCTAACCCCTTTCAATGTAAATATTTCATCCTCGTAAAATCCTTTTATTTTTAAATCTATTCTCTTTGATTGAGATTCAACGTGTCTTGTGTTGTTAGATCAACATGTTGTCGAAGGAACAATCTCACCCTTGATACCAAGTTCATCGGCAATTGATGAATCCAGAAGTGATACAGTCGAGCCGTCGTCTAAAAGGGCATAAGTATCTACCTGGGACTTGGGACCGTACAATGTGACAGGATAAACACGAAGCAAAACTCAGTTTGATATGTTATCTTCAAAACGATTACCGATTACTTCATCTCTAGTTTTTAACTCTCCCTCATTTCTTTTCATTGGAGGTCTTTCAAGATTGGAGTTTTGTAAGAGACGGTGATGGTACAGCTTACAACCGTTTATACTACAAGCTCTTTTAGATTTACAAAATTTAAGTTGATGTCGTTTGAAACATGAAAAGCATAGCTTTTTCTCACCTACCATTTTCCACCTTTCGGAAATATCAGCTTTCCGAAGTATAGAGCATTTGTCATTTTCGTGCTTACCACCACAGAACTCGCAGGTAAGTGGGCCAACAGCGGAAACTGCTGCTTTTGAAGAGTTGGTCAACACAGGTTTGAAGTCATTTTTCTTTCTAGTCGGGACGTCCTTGTTTGGATGAAAATAGATACTCATGATAGAACATTGTCTCTCTAACCAATCTGAAAAATCACTTAGGCTAGGTCTAGTTAAACACATAGGTACTGCTCACATGCTGAGCCCAATGGTACTTCATTTGATAAGGCAATTTTCCTAACAGTTCACTGAGTAGTTGAGGGTTTGTCATGTAGTACTCCATATGAAGGGACTCAGCTGTAGAGGTAAAGTTAAGAATGGTTGTAGAAAACTCGATGAGGCCAACAATATCGTCTTCAGTTACAGGGGCTAGCATTCTAGTTTGGTTCATCATAGACTCAATGATAAACTCGGGCTTACCGAAACGCATCTGTAACGTTTTAATTATGGCATGCAAGTTTTTACTGGAAACATAAAGAGGTTTCACCATTTTAAAGGCTTCGCCTTCAAGACAGTTTCTAAGTCTAGCTAGATTGTCATCATCAGAATACAATTTTACGGTATTTTCAAATGCAGAAAAGAACATAGGCCACTCATCTGGTCTACCACTAAAGTTTGGTAGTTGTTGGCGGCAAAAAGAGGTTGGTTGAATAGCTTTTTTGACTGAATCTGCTAGTAATTGTGCAGCCGTGGTCATAGCGGTTGATGAACACTGATGAACTGTCGGTTCATTATCATTCAGCCACTTTACGACTTTACTCTCAGATTCTCTCTCCTCTCTCTGAGATATTAAGCTTTGACTTATGCTTACCTCAGATCCGCAGACTTGACTACCATTTGCCGATAGTGATTTCATAGAAGCCCTTATTTCCAGCATTTGTTTACGTCGCTCTAGCTCCCTCTTGTCTCTCAGCCGTTGTCGCTCCATTTCCTTCTCCAGCCTTTGTCGCTCCATTTCCTTCTCCAGACGTTGTCGCTCCATTTCCTTCTCCAGCCTTTGTCGCTCCATTTCCTTCTCCAACCGTTGTCGCTCCATATCCTTCTCCTCCATCAGTTTTTGTCTTTCCAGCTCCTTTTCTTCAATTTCTCATTCCAGTTTTTGTATTTCTTCCAACTTTTCAAGATCTATTTCCATTTGTCTCCTGTTGCTTGATGTTGTAGACTTACTTTTTGTCTTCCTTGAACTAATAGAAGTGATGCTGGTTTGTCTCAATGCTATTCCTTGAGTGTCATTGTTTCCATTCTCAGAAACATTCTTTGATAATTTGTCAGTATCATGATTTTCATTCTGATCAGGGGTAAGGGGTATACCTTTTTGGAGGTTTAACTTCTCTATTAAATTTTCTGTAAGACATGGTTCTTTTTTTTTAGTTTCGGCACCAATATTAAATTGTCAATTATCAAAGTCAAAGTCAATTTCAGCAACATTTTCAATTTCAACATTTCAATAACTATTTATTTACTCATCATTAAAAACATGTGACATTTAATCTTCACAAATAAGTTATAGCACAAATATAAAGATTAATCAATGGTCATACACATATATGAAATTAGTCATATATGAAATTAGTATTGGTTGTGAAGCCACAACTACAATCAGAAGTACACATGAGGTCCCTCTACTGTGTGAACTAAAGAATGTGTCTTCATATAGCTTTAATAGTCAAAAATAATTTCCGTACGTAGTGCATTTATAGACGTTCTCTTGTGTGAACTAACGTATGTACTTCAAATAGTTATTGGTTTTGAAGGATTTTCCACATATATTGCACTTATGAGGTCACTCTCCGCTGTGAACCAATGTATGTTTGATCATATAGTATTTGGTTGTGAAGGATTTTCCACATATATTGCACTTACAAGGCCGCTCTTCAGTGTGAACCAATGTATGTGCCTTCATACTGCCTCTAGTTGTGAAGGATTTACCACATATAGTGCACTTATGAGGTCGCTCTTCCGTGTGAACCAATGTATGTTTGATCATATAGTATTTGGTTGTGAAGGATTTTCCACATATAGTGCACTTATGAGGTCGCTCTCCGCTGTGAACCAATGTATGAGCCTTCATTATATTTTTAGTTGTGAAGGATTTTCCACATATATTGCACTTATAAGGTCGCTCTTCAGTGTGTAACAATGTGTGTTCCTTCATTATAGTATTGGTTGTGAAGGATTTTCCACATGTTGTGCACTTATAAGGTCCCTCTTCCATGTGAACCAATGCATGTTTTCTCATAATTTTTTCAGTTTTTAAGGATTTTCCACATATAGTGCACTTATAAGGTCGCTCTCCGGTGTGAATCAATGTATGAATTTTCATATTGTAGTTAGTTGTGAAGGATTTTCCACATATAGTGCACTTATGAGGTCTCTTTCCCGTGTGAATCAATGTATGTATTTTCATACTGTTGTTAGTTGTGAACGATTTTCCACATATAGTGCACTTATAAGGTCGCTCTTCCATGTGAACCAATGTATGTATGTTCATATAGTGTTTGGTTTTGAAGGATTTGCCACATATAGTGCACTTATAAGGTCGCTCTTCCGTGTGAACCAATGTATGTTGCCTCATACCGTGTTTCGTTTTGAAGGATTTTCCACATATAGTGCACGTATAAGGTTGCTCTTCCGTGTGAAACAATGTATGTTGCCTCATACAGATTTTGGTTTTGAAGGATTTTCCACATATAGTGCACTTATAAGGTCGCTCTTCCGTGTGAATCAATGTATGTATTTTCATACTGTTGTTAGTTGTGAAGGATTTTCCACATATAGTGCACTTATAAGGTCGCTCTTCCATGTGAACCAATGTATGTATGTTCATATAGTGTTTGGTTTTGAAGGATTTGCCACATATAGTGCACTTATAAGGTCGCTCTTCCGTGTGAACAAATGTATGTTGCCTCATACAGTGTTTTGTTTTGAAGGATTTTCCGCATATAGTGCACTTATAAGGACACGTATTATGTGTCAACAAATGACACTTTGCTCTATATAGGTGAATAAATGTTTTCTCACATGTCAAACATTTAAAGGGACGCTCACCTGTATGTACATATATATGATTTTTCATGTTCCATTGAGTTGAAAATATTTTTCTACATATTGGACACTTAAAAGAAATATTTTTAATGACCTGCGACATTTTTTACTTTGACCTTTCTGACTTTGTGAAACTTGTCCAACAAGCACCTAACTAACTATAATCAGGATTATAACTCCTGTGTGGTGTTGTATGATACCGTATTTATTTTTATGTCAAGGTGTATATAATTAAACTTTGAATAGTCTCTTCCTCAAACTTTGTTAATTATATGAGATTTTATGACATAATTTAGACATTTTTTTGCTTGTCTTAAATGAGATTTCTTATCTTATTAAATTTTAAGTAAAATAATCTGTCATTGTGTTGGTTTTAAATATTATTACACTTAAAGACATAAATGTTAATTATGATCCAACATGTAATTTTACACAGTGAATTGCTGGCTTCCATTTGTTTTTTTTAAGTGTAGTAAAAACTTACTAGCCTTTTTAGCGGTTTCATAAGTAACCAATTATATTTGAGATGTTCTAAATTAGCTTCTCTGCGCCGAATTGAAGTTCCTTTACATCACGTCTGAGAAAGTGTATTGCCATTTCTGAAAACACCCATATTTTATTAGATATGTACATTTATTGTAAATATTTAGGTTAAACAGTGAGTTCAAAACATTACAAACATGTATACTGGTTTGAGAACATCATAATAATCCAAAATCTATGTATATATTAATTACGTAAGCCGATTCTTTACGTCAAAATTGTGGACGACTGGGAGTCGTAGAAGGACGGGAGAGGGCTCAAATTAAAGGTCTCGACCCCGTTACGGCGGGAAAAATAGTGAAATTCCCCAAATCTTGATACAAATCTAGATATAACGAAAAATGTTCTCCATAAGAATAGCATTAGAAGTCATTTACTGCTGATTTCTGTTTACTTCAATACAGATGATCGTGCTATATCTTGAAAACAGTGATCAATACACGCATTTGGTTTACTTTTAGCTTGTCAACTATGAAATGTATACTAAAATAAAACTGAAATCTTGAAGATTAACCGGAAAAACGTTTGCATTCTTTGTTTATATTTAAATCATATACTCAAGTTTCATTTTTTCATGCTTTTACATTATTGTCGTGTTAAAGGAATAAACGACATAGAATAAATATTCTGTATAAATAATCAAAGAGTCGAAATTAAATTTAACTTCCGTTTTGTTTTTATTTTTAAATCATATGTTCAAGTTTATTTTAAATGATGTTGTTTTCTTTATATTTCTACACATTTTAAGGATAAGGTTGTGTTAATATATACAACTAAAATAACCTATAAACCTATAAATGTTATTGGATCTAAAATGGTGTATTTGCATTCCTTCGTAAGTAAATATTTTTTTAGTGCAGTGAATATACAACGTAGAGTAATCATATTCGATCATACTCTTATAAAATCACCAGGGATTCAAGATGTTTTGGTATGTAGGCTGCTAGATATATATTCTTTTCATTATAAGTACTGTAATTAATATGAACGCCAGGGGTAGACCACAAAGGCGGGTAACTGTTCATAGGAATGACAGTGCGCGTAGAAGAGCAAGAGTAGATAATGACGAACTTAATCAAGATATGTTACAATACAACCCCTTTTAAGGAGACCCATGGTAGACGAGAGAAATAGAGCCCACAACTGTATAAATTCATTCGATAATACAACAGTGCGATGGCTTTTGCTTTTTCTTCAGCCAGTAAGAAAGATATTCCAGGAAAAGGACAATACTGTTTCAAAATTCAAGGACAGATTTATCGTTCAATTTCAGATTTGCTGCCTCAACATGATGAAGACCCCGTGTATGGCCAATTGTACATTATTGACACATCAACAGCAACAGAAATTCGTCAAAGGCGTCGAGAAAATAGTGACTTAAAACCTGAAATATTGTCAAAACTAGCTGAAATTCTATTAGAAAATCCATTTGCACAAATTTACAAAAGAGCTTCGGAAGAAATGGTTGTACAAGGTGACAGTGAATTAGAACTTAGGTTTGTAGACAGGATAAATATGGATCGTCGTTCTTTTAATAAGACTACTGCAGATGAAATTGCAGGCGTCTTCAATTGATCTGAAGGCGAACCTCCAATTAATTTTTAAAATTCCAAACAGGGAATCTTTTATTTATCCTCACCATCCACAAGACCAAAGCTACCTTAGTAAACCAGTATTTATTCACAAACAATGATATGTCTGCTGCCTTTTCATGTTAAACCACTGGAGTGATTCAAATTATTTATTGAAAATGACATCAACAAAAGCAAACAAAGAAGAGCAACAAAATGGTTTTTACACAAAAGATATGGTGTAGGGATGCCTATTCTGACACATAGATAATGTTATTCTGAGTTTGTTTAAATACCGGAATTGCAATATGTTGTTTTACATTTGAGTTTTTTAGGGACATGTCCCTACAAGCCACTAGTATGATTTATAAATGCAATTAAAATTTATGTAATCAAATCAGTGGCGGATCTAGAACAGTCACAAGGGGGGCAAACCGGGGGGTCTTGGGGGTCGGGAGTATACCCCTGAAAAATTTGTGTAAACTAAATCTCCAAAATTGTAGTTTTATACCATTTCTTTTTTGAAAACATTTGTGTCTTGCTACTAAGCGTGACTCACTCACCCCTACCCGGATTATCCATTATCTTTTTTAAAAAACTACATACATAATCAGAAACAAGCAGTTTGTATAAAAGGAAGATGGTCAGATGAAGTTAAAGTTGAATGGGGAGTGCCACAAGGTACAGTCCTTGGCCTCCTTCTTGTCTTCATTTGTTATATAAATAATCTACCCTCTGATGTTTATTGTAAAATCATTCCGTACACAAAGATTCTTCCTTTTTATCTACGAGTGAAAACTATAAAGAGCTTGTAAAATTGGCTGATGAAACATTAAATAATGCACAAAATTGGTTCCATAGTAATGAATGCTAAACTAAGATAAATCACAAAATTTAATATTTTCTTTAGATTAATATTCAAAACAATTGTTGGAGAGTAGTGATAAAGGATATTTAGGCCTAAAATAAGTATTTCTCATTTTGTTTAGTTAGCTTTAAGTATTGTTTCCAGTAACCTATAATTTAACCTGTTAACCTAACGTAATCTATAATTTTAGCTATTTCATGACATTTTTGATAGATTGTAAAAATACAAAAGACATTGAGGAATATTTCATTTAATTTCAATGAGTTAATAACTAAGGTGTTATAGTACAATATCACATGGAAGGAACCTTATGGTTTGCAGGGATTTTAATAGGCCAAAATCTTACATCCAGCAACGACAAAATGATGAAGAACATCACCTGTGTTCTCTTCTGACCACTGTTAGGTAATAAATCTAAACCTGGTTTTCATTATTTCATGTAATTTGTCTTTGAGTGGGTTTTGTTTTGTGTGTGATGGATAGCATGACCCCCAGATTATGGGGCCGAAACCCATGTCTTCCTAAACAAAAACGAGTTAGAGCTGGCATAAAATTTGGTATAATATGTATATCAATCAACTTTGGTGGCAAACGGTAACTGAACTGACTAATGAGCCAAGAAGCAATCCTTTCAGCATGAACCAGCAATCTTTCCCTTGTAAACAATATCCGCACTTTACCCTCCCTCATTGTATAAGGGCCATAACCATCACGTCTGGCGATGAGCGTTGCCGGATATGTTTCATGTGATAAATGTCCTTATCTCGTACAATTCAATAATTTAAACATTTTTTAAACACACAGTGAAGCATAAACGTCAGCTATAGGGCGGCAAATGGTGTCATTTTCAAACTAAGGAGCTATACACAAAACAAAAATGGCGTTTACTTAAAAAAAAAATGACCTTCGTAAGTAATCTTGTTAACTCTGTCTTTTAAATAACAGGTCCTTCTTTGTATTATTTTCTGCCTTTGTCTTTTATTGCCTTTATTGTATTTGTTTGCCTAAGCATACATTTTCTAGAAAGAAAATTAGGTAAATGGTCTGGGGTTGAGACAAAGACATCATCACTTATAGTTTGGGTTTTATTTCTAGTACCTGAATGACATCAAACACAGAAGCAGTTAATTTTTAATTTTAACAAGACATATATTTAATTAACAAATAAAAAAAAACTTAAACTAACATAATAATCAGATTGTTTATTTGACACACATAATCAGCGTAGTGGGTTTACGCGTATGAATAGTTTTAACACCAAAAATAATGTATTTCTTAAAATTTACATTGAAATGGAAAAATTTTCAAAAAAATTTACATAACTGGCTTTTTAGATCAATACACACTTAAGATAAAATCTCTGGAAAGTTCTCTAACATTATATTTAAGTTGTCAGTTGTCATATATTAAAACATTATAGAATAATTATCCCGAAAAATAATCAGTCCTATATACAACTAAGCATTTTATAAAAACATTGAATGAACAATGAAGATTTGTATCTGAGCAATGCATCACTTTAAATTATTATTGCTGCTATGCTTTCGTGCACCACCACCTCATTATTGTAAAAATTGTAATCCCAATTTTAGTTACTTCACCAACTAAATAAATCCATGAAAATGTCAAGCAATGCAATTTTTTACAATAATTCCTAGAATACTTTTAGAAGACCAACTTGTTAAATTTATAATCTCACAATCTTACTAATATTGTAAATGTTTTGGTGAAACCAATACTCTTAAGGGCTTTGCTCAGGGAGATGGGTCGGGTTCACTAACAAATATCTTCCTTTTAACCTTTTTACTTCTATAGCAACCGGGTCTGTTGGTACTAGCTCGGTTTAGGGGCGCCACTCTGTTCGGAGATCTCTCATAAGAGTTTACAACGGAGAGAAAAACTCTTCTCGTGGTTGCTATGGTAGTAAGGCAGAGAGTTAAACTTTACCTAACCCGATTTTCATGTCTGATGCCGTAACACCAATACCCTACTGTATTTAGTAAGTCTACCTGATCAATCTCAAACAAATATGCAAATATACAGTACCCAGGGCTTCTTTAAGATGTTCTATCTTCGATAATCAGAAATGGAAAGGACCTAATTCTAGCCGGGCGTTCACTGCGCCAGCCACTCACTCCATCCGAATCCAATTGGAACCTAGGCCGTCTGTTAGCCTCAAACATGATTTTTTTTCCATGACTTCTTGGCGTTGAATATTCTTACAATCGACCGAGGGTTATTATGGCCATTGTATGAGCGCTATTCTAAAATACAATGTTGAAAGTAATTGGTTGGGTGATCAGTCCAACCTCCAATGGTGGCCCACAATCGGATTGTTACAACTGATTCTGAATGGCAAGAGCAATGCGGGAATTCCTTTTGCACAGGACACAGGCTGCATTCTTCCTTCATCGTGAGCATGTGGTACATGAGGACGAGAGTGATGATGATGGAATTTTCCCTAGACACCAATACTCTCTATCCTGTGTGAAGTATTGGTTGTGAAGTATTTTCCACAACCACAAGCAGAAGTACACATATGAGGTCCCTTCCCTGTTTGAACTAATGAATGTGTCTTCATATAGCTTTGGTATCCTTATATATAATACGTGAAGGC